AATGATAATATTACTAGCCCATTTGTATGCAAAAAGAAAACTATATTTAAATCTTCATAAAAGAGTATACCATTAATTAAATATACCACCATTATTTCCGCCCAAATACTAATTAATTACATACTTAATTATGTTCTTGAATAAATTATTCTAAATAAATGTGGATTTGAATCAGAAATCAATATAATAATAAGTTGTAAAAATGAATGTCTCTGTTGTTACAACTAAGCATTTGTCAAAAAATGAAATATCATTTTTAAGGTGTTACTTTTTACCACACTGTCTAATACACATAAAAAATTCAGTTTTTTAGTTTTTGGAGCAATTATTATTAATTAACGCAAACACTCAATTCATGTAGTTTGAATACTGGAATCATATTAATTGGTCCTCTTTAACAAATATTTAAACAGTTTTTTTTTATTTTTTAATGAAATAAACAAACTATATCGACAATATTAGTATCTGTACTCTTTAAAAATTTGGTACATCTTTGAAAATAATCTAAAATGCCAGTATTCCATGGGTATATTGATAAATGAATTTAAAATTACAAGAAAATGCATTTTCTACGGAAACTTGAAGCTATAGGTAAAAAATGGTATAATACAATTTAAGAGACAATTAAATTGTGCATCTGATTCTCATAAAATATACAGGGTGTACCATTTAAATTAAACAAGTTATTGCCGTTTAAAGCTAGTAATTATTTAAAATAAAATTTTAGACACTCTGTATAAGGTAGTATAATTTTTATTATTGCAACACAATAACTGATCAATAAATAAACTTCAGTAAATATTTAGTATTAAAAACTTTGATACCCTTGGAGAAATGAAGCCTTAAAATTTTGACTGCAATTTCACAAAATTGAAAATATTTCAAGAACGGTAATGTTTAAGTGTAATAAACCTTTATCAAATTTACCTTTATTTTAGTCGTAGAAACTAAAAATGTAATAATATACAGGGTGTTCCATTTAAAAAAATACAACTTTGATATTTTTTATTTATTTGGGACACTCTGTATCATGTAAAAATATTTTTAAATTGTAGCTCTAATAGTCCTTCAATGAACCCAAAACTTACAATTTGTAAAAATCTAATCGTTTAGCTACAATACTCCGTGTCGTATGTGGTGAACAACCCTGTATATGTATTTTACGGCATTAACAACATGGCGTGTATAAATGGTTGATTATTTTTAATCATAATATAAAAAGTATGGTGGCAACGGATAAACCTATAACAAGAAAGGAATTTATGATGAAAATTCATGAGCAACGTACAAGATCGTAGCTAGCGCACCGTTTAAGTGTACCAACTTTAGAATGCTGACTTAAATTTCTGATCAGGGATATTTTCGAAATTCCTCTGCAGACAGATTTACTGGAACCCCCAACACTAAAACGCATGTGATTTAACCAGACAAATTTGAAAATCCCATGCAACGATGAGAGTCAAATTTTAAATACCCAGCATATTTCAAACGTACATAAATACGTGTTTTTGTACAATTTAATAACTATTTCCAACAAATTATATAATAAAATTCGACAAAATACCGACAATGAATAAAACCGCAACAATTACATCTATATCAGGAGACTAGGCTTGAAAATTATAGCAGAGCGATTGGTACCAACAGGTACTACGATCCGAACAACAACACTCGCATTTCTGACTTGATATTTTTTCCCGTAATTATTAGTTAGTACCGTAACCTTTGTTCCATTCCCAAATAAGTACCGAATAGAATTGGAAACAGAATTACAAAGAGATAGAAATATATAATTATTTATTTAATGGAATTACCTGAAATATGTTGGATTTTTAATTTATTTTAATGGCCAACAGAACATTTTATGTAGTTTTAATTTTTTTATGTTCATATTTTTATGAGAATTTTATTTGCTTAGAGAACTAGGTAGGCTTTATTACTTTATTACACACAAAGTCATAATCTTTTAATAAAAAATAAATTAGATTTAATTATAATATGAAAATGCAAGAAATTATATACCGGGTGTTGCATCGTCGAACGGGACATAGGAAATCCCATGTAAATTTTAATTGGGTCAATTATTGGCTTCCCTAATTATTTTAGAGAATAATTCTATTTAGGTTTATTGAAGAGCACTAAAACCCACATTCAAAAGAATAACTTTAGATATTTTTGATTAGCTCGTTTATGAGTTATCGCCGATTTCTTCTTAAATATTTCTCCTTTCTTATGGCCCTGTATTTACTTATGAGCACCAGTCAAGGTAAAAGATAACTGTCAAATGAAATTACCATTTCAGAAATTTACCTATTTAGTGCTTTATTATTATTGAAACCTCATTCCTACATCGGAAATCTTAAAGATGTATTTATAATTACAAATTAATATGAATTAAAGTAAAATAAAGTAATCAATTACAAGGTTAATTATAGTATTATTACAATATTCAATAACTTATTAATTTAGGTACTATTAAATTGTTAGAACTTTAGGATTTAAGAAGATGTTCAAATATTCCTCCATCGACTGCTAGACAACAACCAGGCGGTCATAAATTCTCTTCTTACATTCGCTAGTTGGTAAACTGAAATTCTATTGCATTCGGCAGAAATAGCATTTTTTAACTCGTCTAGATTTGGGTATTTTTTATCCTTGTATATCCTGTTTTTTAAAGGGCCCCAGAGAAAGAAATCATTTGGCGAAATATCAGGAGACCCTGCTGGCCAATTTACTGTATGATTTAGGCCAATAACGTTTCCGTTAAAACTATTGTCTAAATATTCCCGAACAGCCAGGGTACTATGTGCCGGGCAGTCATCCATTTGGTACCAAACTTCCTGATTTTCCCTAGCGGCATCATGTAAAGCAGGTAAAATATGATTTTCGAGTAGTTCCAAATAATATTCTGCATTTATATTTCGCGTAAGAAGTAATGGCCCAATAATATTGTGTCCGAATATCCCTGCCCAAACATTTATTTTCTGTGGATATTCCGTCCTTGTTTCGACAAACCTGTGTTGGTTTTCTTTGTTCCAATATCGATAATTTTGAACATTGGGTTCATTATTTAAGGTAAACGTGCATTCGTCAGTGAAACATATGTTTTTTAAAAATTCCCTATCCGTGTTTGCTCTTTCCATCATATATCAAAACAAAACGCCTGCCGCCGTATTTCGTCCCCATCTCGTAGCTCTTGGTGCTTTTCATATTTGAATGAATAGTATTTATGTCGTTTCAAAATTCAAAACGCTGTAGTGTGATCTATTCCTATTTCATCCTCAAGTTTCCTTGTGCTGATCTTTCCATCGTTCTCTACGCATAATAAGTACACACAATAAAACTTCCAAATCGGTATCATTTCTTGCATCTTCTCTTTGTTCCTGCCTTGCTTCACATCTGCAGTTATTTATTAGGGTACCTTTGGTCTCAAATCTCTGGATATTCCTTGCGATTCTATCGGCGATAACTCGTAAACGGGCTAATCAAAAATATCTAAAGTTATTCTTTTGAATGTGGGTTTTAGTGCTCTTCAATAAACCTAAATAGAATTATTCTCTAAAATAATTATGGTAGCCAATAATTGACCCCATTAAAATTTACATGGGATTTCCTATGTCCCGCTGGACGATGCAACACCCGGTATAATTAGGTAATGCTGAGTGAATTTCATAACTGATTTGTTCACTACACGGTATATAGTTACTTACTAGTGAAAATTATTCCTTTATTTATCTCGATTTTTGACAGCGAACTACCGCACGCTGCACAACTAACTATTTTACAGTCTTTTTTGGAATTCGCAATAATATCACCGTCAGTTTAAGTTCTGACACGTTTTCCTTCTAGATTTACTACTTCTAAACAAAAATAATTATAAAGCTTCATTCAGAACCTCGCAATTAGTAGAATAAATTAGAAGTTTCAGTTACACTTCATACATTTCAGTTTACGATCATTCACAATGTCTAAAAAACACAATTAAAATTAATAGAATATCCTAGCAACAGCTTGCGGTATAAGTTGTAGGCATAGAGAAAGCCTAATATTTAGCTTATAAAACAATAAACTTTTGATTTCTAACCACATTTTTCACTTGGCAGATGATAATCAAAGGCCAAAATGATATTCCTCTCCCAAATTTTGAAGTATAATTAGTGGAAAAGTTGAAAATATGTTAACTTTTTCCACTAATTGAAAATTCCTACCACTAATTTTGACGTTCTGAATGCTTATATTCAAATTAGAGGAGCAAACTTCTAAGCTAATTCAAACCACTAATTTATTCAACTAATTGCGAGGTTCTGACTGAAACCAAAATGAAGCTTAAAGCTTAGAAACGCAAAATTTCAAATCAAATTCAAATGTGTCATTTGAAACGTCAAACAGAACATGTCATTATTATTATTATACTGTTTCCTTAATCGGTTTATTCACAGCAAACAACTGTGTTTGTATGAGTACGACATGCATATTTTTTAATACCTGATATAACGCTCAGATCTAGAGCGTTATACTCTCTTCTATATCACAAGTCACCGCTCTGTTATTTTTTTGCTGTTGTAAACTGTTATTAATAAATAACAGTTCAAAATAGCAGATTGTTAAATAACAACTCATTTCTAATTTTAATTGCTTCTAAATCTGTTACTGCTGGTATTTTACATGGAATCTCTTGCAAACTGTTATTAATAACTAACAGTTCTAAATACCAGATTATTAAATAACAACTCGTTACTAATTTTGATCGGTTTTAATAGTTTAAATCTGTTATTGTTAGTTTTTTTAAATAGCAACTCTTGTAAACTGTTATTAATAAATAACATTTTCAAAAACAGACCGTCAAATAACAGCTCGTCGTTTTTAATTTTGATTGTTTTTAAATCTGTTATTGTTCTGTTCTAAATTGCAACTGTTGCGCACTGTTATTTCTCAATAACAGTTCTACCATAACAGATATAATGTTTTTATATCAGCTAATGTTTTTTTTTTCTTTTCAGGTGATCCTAGTGGAGTAGTTTGTCCCCCAGGGACCTTCAAATGTCCAGAGGGTAAATGCATACCATCGTTATGGGTGTGCAACTACCAGAAAGATTGCGAGAAAGGAGAGGATGAGTTCCAGCAGTGTTGTAAGTACTATTTTCAATGAAATACCGAAAAAAAACTTTCAGTTTTGGTATTTTAAATCCTATACGTGTTTTTTCAGCACCTCCTGACTGTGAACCTGGACAACTCACCTGCAGGCAGTATATCTTTAACAAAACATACTGTATACCACCTCACTATAGGTGTGACATGAACGTGGATTGTATAGACGGTTCAGATGAGTCAGAGTGCAGTAAGTTTAATTTTTATGTATTTCTTATTATAGGTCAGCAATGTGGTTCTGTCCTAAAATGCAACTGTGGCAAACTGTTATTTCTAAATAACAGTTCTTGTCTTTAATTTTTCATTGGCGTCTTATTACCATGTGATAGAATGAAAACAACGTCCTACTAGTTTGAACTTTACTATATCTATACAGGGTTTTTCTTAAATGCAAAGATTTATCTTTTTACACTTTTAAAGAAAATTGAAAAGAAGTTATTTAACGTTACAAATTAAAAAAAAAATGATGATTTCTTAAATGCATTGCCAACCAAATGAGCAAAATCAGAATGGCCAACTATTTCAATCATTGTGGATCACAGCGTACAAAAAATTAGAAAATCTGTGTCTTTATATTTTCAATGTAACCTTTAAAAAAGAGTAGAATGTAAGGCATGGTGCAAAACATCGAGTCCAGATACTGTTCAGTTAGCGAAATGAAGTGTGAAGATATCAATTTTCTCGGTAGATAACCACGGAAGAAAGTCGTCAGGATATATGCACCGTAGAAAACAAGAAGCGATATATAGAGTCAAACGAGGTCAGAATACATAGAGTCCGAAAAGAAAAAAATTGCTCTGGTGCGAGTCGGACTCGCGCACGAAGGGTTCCGTACATAGACTTAAAATAAAATATAGACTACACTATTTACATCTCAACGCGGACAAACAACCTTTTTTGTACACATGTTTACTTCTGGGTACAGTCGACCGAGCCTTTCTCATCCGCCTATGTTGTCACGTCTTTAATATTATCAATATTTTTTTTCTTGTTATACACATATATTGAGATATTAATACTACAGTTTAATAAAGTAGGTTTTAATATTCCATAGATGTATTAAATAGTCCTTATACTACTAAATTATAAGTCGGATACTGTTTAATAAGGATAAGTTCTTTACAATATGACAACACCGATTAGAGGCGAGGGAGACTATTCATTCATTTATTACCTTGTAGTACGTGTCGGACGTGTGCGGCAAAGCTTTGTTGCCGCTATCTCCCCTGTTGTATTAACGCATTTTCTTAGCTTGTAGTCCTTAAGTGTTTATTTTATTGACTTTTTCTGTTCAAGAACTATAAAATATGGTTCACCAGTGCCAAATTTGCAAGAAATTTGACTTAAATAATCCATTTAAGTCTTGAAACGACTTTCGACCGGCAGGCAACTCTCAATTTACCCATTAGGAGTCAGTGGCGCTGTTGTAGAAAGGCGCTTATTTAGATAATATTTTAGTAAAATGTAAAATCTGATTTTTTTCTCTTACATTACATTATTTACTTACTTACATTGTAACAAAATCTTAATTATAACCCTGTTAATAAATAATAATGTTTTTATTAAAAATATATTCCGGTTTATTCTAAAATTATCTTCAGAATCTAAAATAACATACAAGAATTTTAAAATGATATTACATTATGAAACAATATTTTTTTATACTGGGTCAGTCAAAAAAGTGGCTCACCCCTATAACTTTTTTTTATTTTTTTCAGATAAAAAACAGATTTGTATGTTAGTAGGTATATGACATAAATTAGATTTATATTCAATTGTTTTTGGTCTTTCCTGTTTCACCGAAATGATTACATCTTTTGATTTTTAAAGGCACCCTCGGTATATTGCTACTTTATTCGATAAAAAATGACACTCTAAATAGAATGACTATCATATGTCAACTTTTGACATTGTCGCTTAAAAACATATCCTATTTTAAATTTCAATCCAGTTTTTTTCAATCCACTAAGTTTTAATCAGCCTTAGAAAAATAGTTTTGATCGTCTAATAGGTTTCGTGTCTTGTCTAGGCCGGTTAAAAGATGTAGAAATCGTATTTTTAATCATACATATGTCAATTTTTTCAAATGGAACAAGGGTGACTCATTAGCATATTTGGAAAAAGCATTTTTTTATGAATATATTGATACCACACACTTGGTATTTCGAGTCAAATTGTCGTTATGAAGCGCGTGTTACAATTACAATTAAACCATATGCGAAAATGTCAAAAGTTGACATATGATATGTCATTCTATTCAGAGTGTCATTTTCTATCGAATAAAGTAGAAATATACCGAGGGTGCCGTTTAAAAATTAAAAGTTATAGTCATTTCCGGTGACACAGGAAGTGACCAAAAACAATTGAATGCGTCAATCAATCCTAATTTATTTCATATACTAACATACTAAATCTTGTTTTTTTATTTGAAAATATAAAAAAATTATGGGGATGAGCCACTTTTGAGCCGCACCCGGTATAATAAAGACAGTACCGAGTTAAATAAATGTAGTTTTTATTTTATCCACTTCCTATCACCTTCCTTGCTTTAATGGAACAGATTTATGTTTTCTCTAATTTACATAATAAGACATCACTTAACTAGAAAAAAAATTACAACAATCATTTTTTTTTCTCTCCCTGTCGCCGATTCTATTATATCTGTGGAATAGATCCGGTTTTGATTAATATTAGGGGTTGTAAATGTTTGACTAAAATTAATAATTTATTATTAATTTCAAAAATTACGTAATTTCGATTATAAAATTTCTTCTATAACGTGTATTTTATTATGTTTATCCTTTTCGGACTCTAAGACGTTTTTTCTAAACTTTTATGTAAAAAACCTGTCCTAAATCTTAATAAAATATAAAAACGTTTAAATACGATATATTTTTAATTTACTTATAGCTTCATTAAAATAAAAAAATTACCCGGCTATGATACGGAGAGTTCAGGTGTACTTGAGAAACGAAAGACAGTGTTTGTTTCTCGGCAGAGTCGTCAGGGAACGACCGTTACGACAGAGACAACCTATCTATCGCTCGTGTCGCACTCGTTATAACCTAAAACAATAACACAACAATAACAAGACAGTGTCTGACCGCATGTTCCAGCTATTTATGAATGAGATGCTCAGTCTATATTTTATTTTAAGTCTATGGTTCCGTACCATTCATTATCTATACAACATTAGAGACTATATATTATTATAAACTTTTTTCCGATTTAGCTAAAAGTTTGAATGCGCGTATAAGTAATTTAAAAAAAATGAAGAAATACATTACTAAAAGTTGTATTAATCAATAACAATTATGTAAAAAGTAAAAATAAATATGTAAAAATAAAAAAAACGATTAAAAAAAGTCGCCTTGACTAGGATTCGAACCTGCCTTACCACGGCTTCAACGTCATAGCAGCGTAAAGTCCTAACGCTTGAACCACGCGGCCATCGAGGACTTGAAAAATTCTATGTAAAATTCTTACTTAAAAGATCATGTTTAGTGCAAGTACTTATTTATAAACATTTATTTAATTCTGTTTTTAGTATTTGTTCTTATAGCGGCAACATAAATACATTATCTGTAAAAATTTCAACTGTCTAGCTATAACGGTTCGTAAGATAGACCTTTGTGACAGACGGACGGACGGACCGACAGCGAAGTCTTAGTAATAGGGTTCCCGTTTTTACCCTTGGGTACGGAACCCTAAAAAGAGTCCGAGTTAAAAAAAAATATTTATCAGTGAATGATAATGGACATTATAAGGAAACTGTAGGTCACACAACGCTCAATGGAACGAAATATGCTGGGAATAACCAAGAAAGACCGTAAAAGAATTTTTTGAAACATTCAGGTAGTTTGTTATAAAATTTGATAAACCAAATACATATGTGAGGAAAACTCCACAATACCTGATAATAATATATTAACTATTATATGATCCACACACAATATACCATTGTCACAGACTTCCTAGATTAACGCTAATAGTATTTTCCATATAAATTTACTATTTAGCAACTTTGTATCTCTACAAAAGACATCGACTAGCTGACTCTATACCTTTGGACCTCGTTGATCAAAGATGTGTATATATCTCTATCGTATGGATTTATAGGATACCGTTAGGGATCATTCCGATTTTCTATAAAAAATGCATGAAGCCAAGTCAACTGAAATTACCCCTGTTTCTAGAGTACAGGAAAATGTGATACAATTTTTTTAGTCATATTATATACAGGGTGTTAATGATATACTAATATTTAAGGGAGTGGTTTTTGGACCTATTCTAAGAAAACGTTCATATGAATGTATCCTAAACATTTTAACTTTACTAACATACAGGGTGATCAAATTTTCTATTTTTTTATAATAACTCAGATGTTGTTATAGATATCTTTATGAATCTTGATACAACACGTATTCTATGCCTCAAAATGCTTGTTTTGATATTGAATAATTTGATAAAAAGCTAAAAAAATGCAAATTCTAGCTAAATTTTTATTTATATATAATAGCTCTAAAAGCTTAAAAGGCTCATGGCTTGATTGGTTATCTTTCTCCATTTGTTTCTGTCTTTCGCCATTATTCTCCACCCACCCACTCTTATCCTTCTCAAGTCCTCTTCTACATCCTTTTTCCATCTGATTCTCGGTCTACCCCTCCTTCTCTTTCCACCTATTTTGCGTTTCATTATCATACTAGGAATTCTTGCTTCGGCCATTCTTTCAATGTGTCCCAGTCATCTCAGTCTTTGTGCTCTTGCTACTCCCGTTATATTGCTACGATATAATTGCTTTAATTCTTCATGTGGTCTATCTTCTTTCCGCCAAAAATCTTCCTCAGTATTTTTCTTTCCCAAATCTCTAGCCTCAAACTTTCCGTTGCATTAAACGTCCAGGCTTCACATGCATACAGCGCTATTGGTCGTATCATTGTTTTTTGCGCTTGATTTTCTAGTCTTTTGGTCACCGATATCAGCTCTTTCCGATCTCTTGCTAAGATAACTAAATCATCGGTAAAGGCTAAGCATTGGTGTCTTTTTGTATACAGAAGGCCCTCTCTGTTGATTCCCGCATCTTTTATAACTTTTTCTAATACTACACTAAACAGTACTGGAGATAGTGGACCCCCCTGTCTTAATCCGTCCCTAATTATAAATTTTTCCGTTGTTTTCTTGTTTACTTTGACTTCATTTACTGTCTCTTGGAGTGTCAATTTTATAATCTTGGTCAGTTTCTTGTTAACCCCTAATTCTGTTAATGCTCTAAACACCTCCGTCCTTTTAATTTTGTCATATGCCTGCTGAAAGTCGATAAATAGGAGTCTGTTTTCCGTATTCATAACTCTCCGCTTGTATTTCTCTAAGGGCAAATATTTGGTCAAAGGTACTTCTTCCTTTTCTAAATCCACATTGGTACTCTCCAATTTTCTCATCAACCTCCTCGGAGGAAATTTTCACTTACATATTCTAAATTTTGACCGAATTCTGTGGACAGAACGAACTGAGAATAAACAACACATATTTTCCCCATAAAGAACAACACAAATACACCTTCTATGACAATAGAAACAATAAATCAATAATCGATTATATCATCACCAATCGAAGTTTCTTACCTCAACTAATAATAGACATAAGAGTCTTATCCTCAGCCAACATTGGAACAGATCATAAACTTGTGCTAGGAAAGATACGAATAGGTGCGCCGCTATCCAAAAAAAGACCATCGATAAAAACTGAAAAATTCAATATAGAATCCCTCAACCACGAAAGCACTAAACTTTATTCAAACAGATGCCAAACACATGTCACTCTTAACCCCATAGCACAGTTTGATACTCCTAACACAGCTTGGAACAAACTGTAAGAAAACATCTGCACAGGTGCTAAAGAAGCTTTAGGAACACGTACTGTATCACACAATAGAAGACCGAACATTAAACCTTGGTTTACATTAGAGGTCAAGAACATTACAAGGGAAAAGAAGGAAAAATACTTACAATACAAGAAATCTCAAACACCGGAGAACCGAAATATCTATACCGAAATAAGGAACAGGACTAATAATAGAGTACGAGAAATTAAAGAAGAATATTGGCAGCGATTTAGTAGCGAAATGGAGGCGGATATGTACGGAGCACAAAAACGTATTTGAAAGATGTTGAGGGGTTTGAAACGAGAAACAAATGAAACAATACAACTAAGAACAATTGCAGAAGATATGTGGGAAAAATATTTCAGAGACTTATACGCAGAAACAGATGAACCAATGGAAGCACAAGAGACAAGCCAAAGAGATAATACAGAAGACCATGCGCAAATCACTTACAAGCAAGTAGAAGAGATAATAAGGAAACTTAAAAATAGAAAATCTCCTAATCAAGATAAAATACCAAACGAGCTAATAAAAAACGCAGGCATGGCTATCATAGAGGAATACACAAAACTGTTTAACATTATATTACAACATAAGAAAATACCAGAAGAATGGAAACAAAGTATAACAATACCCATTTTTAAAAAGGGAGATAAAACAGACCCAGCAAACTATAGAGGAATAACATTACTGAGCACCTCGCTAAAACTTCTGACTAAGATCATTGCGGACAAAATCTCCTCAATAGTGCCAATAAGCGAGGAACAACAAGGATTCCGAAGAAACCGATCAACTACCGATGCACTATTCATACTCAGGCAACTAGTTGAAAAATCCTTAGAATATAACTCTCCAGCCTATCTATGTTTTATAGATTTAACAAAGGCCTTTGATAGAGTCCAACTAAAAGACATCATCACCATCTTCTAAAGCAGTACTGTCTCGAAAGAACTTACAGAACTTATCAAGGACTTAAACACAAACACAACAACCCAAATAAGAACAAACTTTACCTTAACGCATCTTCGAACTACAACTGGTATTCGCCAAGGCGACAGTCTCAGCCCTCTGTTATTCAACACAATCATTGATCAAGTAATAAAAACCGTCAAGAATACTGGATTAGGATATCGAATGGGAATGCATAAAGTAAACATATTATGCTATGCCGATGACGCAGTACTTATTGCAGAGTCAGAAGACGACCTCCAAAGAATGCTACAAGCTTTTAACAGACAGGCAGAAAAACTTAACATGCAAATTTCCACAAATAAGACCAAATGCATGACCATTACAAAGGAGCCTCTACGGTGCAAATTGATAATAAAAAACAAAACTATTGATCAGATAATGTCATTCGAATACCTCGGATGCAAAATTACAAGCTCAGGATTTCTGGAAGAAGAAGTAAGGAAACAAGCCAATAAAGCTGCCGCAATATCAGGACATCTTAAATATCCCATATAGAGAAACAAACATTTGAGTACAGAATGTAAGTCAAGAATATACAAAACCTGCATACGACCAGTGATGACATATGGTGCGGAAACCAGAGCTGAAACATCATTAACAAAGAGAATCCTACGAACTAATGAAATGAAGACCTTAAGAATGATAACTGGATACACATTGAGGCACATAATAATTCAAAATAACACACCCCATGGCAGAAGACCTACTGGACGACCACCTAAACGTAGGCAAGACAGTTGGCAGTCAACCTCGCAGGAGTTGCTTAGACGAGGAGGAAACCGGAACTAAACAGGCGATACGCCTTCTAAAAGAAGAAGAAGAAGAAGGAGAAGATATTCTAAATTTGCGTTCAACTGATATATTAGTCAAATATCTCAAAATTTTTAATATTACTCTATATTTACTTATTTTTCTATTCCCCAGACCTTTGATACACGATTACAAAAACTGTTTTAGCGATATTAACCCTTCTCGTAAACAACGTCAAAAAACACACCATAATTTCCACGATAGCATTTTCCGCATGGCACGATAAAAGCCTTCATCTAATTCGCTCTAAACTCTAATCCTACCCACCCGTCCCCTACTTCTGGTCCCTCATAACCCCAGTTTCCCCAGTTTTTTTAATTTCTTCCTTTTGTCGGGGCTTTTAATCGCTTATTCTTGCCTCGGATTGGTCGGGAAAGAGGTTTTTGTGACTGTTAAAATGTCAGAGATGGTCTCTGGAAATAACCAGATAATTTATAGAATTCGTTTTGAATAAGAGCTAAAGTTTCTTTACAGGAGACGCCTACGAGTTTTCTTATGCGAGTTTGATTGTAATTAAGTTGTTTAAGGATTGAATTTATATACCTTGATAAAGTCTTTAACTATAAACGACTTAGTAGGGGAGCCTAAGGGGGTATTTTGGGATTTCTTCCGGTAGAAATCTTGCACCCTGTTAAGTACCCCCACCATTGTATTTGTATTTGACTAAGAGTGGGTCCCATAGGGGACCCTCCACTGAGGCCGCGAGGGCCTATTGTGGCTCTAATCCAATATCACAACCCCCACCATACATGAACCTTTTATGGGTGGTGCCTGTAGGGGAGCCGATCAAAGTAGGTCAGGTGAGTCAATTACATGTTCCTACAGAGATTACTATGGTTCTACAGAGGCTCTCCATCCATCAGTAGCTCTCCATCCTTGACATCAGCCGTACCAGTGATATGGTATTCTGGCGTTTTTCCATTTTCCCCACAGAATCTGTTAGAATTAGAAATCCCGTGACAATCCGAAGATTGTTTTACTTAAATAAAGGAATATCTTTGATTTTTCTCGGTCGTAAGTCCTGAGGAACTTTATCGAGTTTCTTAGACCGTTGGAGGACACCCATTCCATGTTACGGATGGAGTCTTACAGGTTCTGTTCCGCTTTCAGTTGGTTCCCGCTTGGAAAACAGAACGGTTCTGGTCCACTTAGTGGACTATTCGCTCCTTTTCTAGCTAGCTTATTTGTATTTTCATTGCCTTATATCCCTTGGTGAGCAGGCACCAAGAATAGAAGGATTTTATTTTCTTTGCCTAATTTGTATAGCTTCTCTAGGCATTCTTTAACCAACTTCGAATTGATGGTTACTAAGTTGATCGCGGTTAGTGCTGCTTGACTATCGGATAAGATCGTTATTTCCTGTTTTCGATAGTTCCTATCTAAGATAAATTGTACGCATCTTTCGATAGCGTAGATTTCTGCCTGAAGGATACTGGGGTAGGTGCCCATTGGTTCGGAGTATTAAGTTTTCGGCCAAATACTCCTATCCCTCTCCCTGCTTTGATTTTGGAAGCATCAGTATACCACGTTATGGTATGTATATTCTTGGTATGTCATCTACTGGGAATTGGAGAAGTGGAATTTTCTTTTTGAGGGTGTTCCAAGTCTGACCTGATAATTCTCCCAGTACTGTTTCTGTCAATGACCATTCTAATCATTGGTCGCATTGGCATAACATTTTTAGTTCATAGCATTTTAATAACATTTTATAGTTCCCTGCTAAATCTTGTACACATTACCGTCATTAATTTAATAATGATATTTTTTTGTTCTTTAGCGTACAGGAAATGTCAGCAAGACGACTTCCATTGCGGACCCAAAACTTCCGACCCGTGCATACCAAAAGAGAAAAAATGTGATGGCTATCTGGATTGCAGAAGCGGGAAAGACGAACAAAACTGTCCGGGAATTTCTTGTAGATTGGATCAATTCAGATGCTCCAACGGCCAAAGGTAAGAATCTAGGGATGAACAAATGCAAGACCAAGAGTCCCTAAATCTTGGTCTTGCAGTTACTAAGTAGTCTTAGTCTTGGTTTTGCAGTGTGCAGTCTTGTTCTTAGTCTTGTTGAAAGATCCTTGCAAGTCTTGCATTTTTTAACAACTTTTTACTAGATGTCCATTTTCTACATAGAAAATATTTAAATAAATACTATACGATCGAAAAAATCGCTCGCTGGAAAATGATGATGCATGATAACATAATTTTATATATCAAATTTCTTACAGTGTGTAAAAGCCTCCATCACAACAAGTCAAGAGTGCCACATCATGGATTATTGAGCGATCCCTTCCTAACAAATACAATAGTTAGGCATGGATGTGTTTTGGCGCCTCTCCTAGTCAACATATTCATGGCAGCACTCTCCATTATAGTGGACAGCAAACTGCAGGAGAGGGGGTTGGACATTAGATACAGATACGACGGCGCGCGGCGCGGCGGTCTGTTCAACATAAAAAGACTCAGGGCAAAAACACGTACAAAAATCATGACAAAACTTCAATACGGTGATGTCTGCTCTCTAGTTGCAAAAACATTACAGCAATTAAAAGAAATGTTGAACACATATACCTGGGCATACGAGGCTTTGGGCCTTAAGCCGAACATCGACGAAACTAAAATCATGTGCACTCCCCCGGAAGATCACAACAATGCTATAAAAATCGGAAAAGAACTATTAGAATATGTATCGGAATTAGATTACCTCGGTGCGGCAGTTTGATTTTGGGAAAGGCCAATATCGACTCTGAAATTCAGCACAGGATTAGCAGCGCCTCAAGAGCATTCTCGAAATTAAAAGACAGGGTTTTCCACAATCATGACTTGAGCACAAAAACGAAATTTACAGTGTACCGAGCAATAATAATCCGCACCATGTTATATGGAAGCGAAACCTGGGTGCCGTACCGCCGAATGAACGCATTAAACAAGTTGCAACAGAAACACCTTAGACAACTCTTAAGAATCCGGTGTCATGTCTCAAACCGATACGTTTGAGACATGATAGAACCATTTGTGTTCCTGGAAACGTTCCATCCTTTTTTAATCTTTCTAAGTGTTAATTTTTATACTTTTTTATACTTCTAGGTGTATCGAGGCATCCCAAAAGTGCGACCACAAAAACGATTGCGGTGACAACTCCGACGAACAGGGTTGCAACTTCCCTGTCTGTCACGGAGTCCAATTCAGGTGTGCCAACGCCCTGTGCATCCCCGGGGCATTCCGATGTGACGGTTACCAAGACTGCTCAGACGGGAGTGACGAAGTCAACTGTACCGCCATAGCATGTCCCGATAACAAGTTCCTATGCCCCAAGGGTACTCCCCAGGGTACTTACAAGTGCATCCCCAAAAGCAAGCTTTGCGATGGGAAGCATGACTGCGAAGATCATGCCGATGAGGAAGCGGCCTGTTCTAAACTGGCCTGTCCTTTGTTGAGGTGCGAGTACAAGTGCCAAGCTTCGTTGACAGGTAACTGATATTGTTTTTCTTTAATACTATATACTAATATAATATTTTCTTTATTTCAGGAGGACAATGCTATTGTCCAGATGGAAAGATCCTTGCACCCGACAACCGCACATGCGCCGATCGTGACGAGTGTTCCTTGTGGGGATACTGCGACCAACTGTGCACCAACACACCCGGAAGTTACAGCTGTTCCTGTGCTTCCGGTTACGCTCTCAAAGACAAGAACCGTTGCGTTGCCACGGAGTCCAACATGATGGAGTTGTATTTTGCGCACGACAAGAGCATTTTTGTCATGAACCCGACCGGTACAAACGTGAAAATTGTGGTTAATACTACGGGAGCTAGTGGGTTGGATTACCACTACAATCAGAACGCTTTGTATTGGTCTGATGTGAAAACAAAGAGGGTGAGTTGTTTGTTTATTTTTTTAAATGGAACCCCTGTATATTATTGCATGTTTCGGTTCTTCCTTCAATTCTAAGCAAAAATTGAAATACAAACAATGTACCTCATACCAACCGTTCTTTAGTTGGCATGGTGTTCTTATTTTGTTATGATTTATAACTTATAAAAGGACAAAATATATTATTAAACGATTCTTTACAATTTGCATTACACAAACCAAAACTTAAAAAAAATAATATCATTACATACACTATAAGTTATTTTAGAAGATGTTCAAAAAATCCGCCATTGTTTTGAGTATCTAAATGCATGTTTTTAAAACTGAATTTCTAGCTATTCTCACAGAACGACCGGTCGACTTAATTAAACTTCTCCTGTATCGCCTCTTCGAGTGCCTCTCTTAATTCATAAGTTCTTTTGTAAACCTTGTTTTTAACCATACCGCATAAAAAAAAGTTGAAATGAATAGGTCAGGTGATGAATTTAACTTTTCTAACATGTCTTGAAAACCGTTCTCTAAAAAACGTAAGTAATGTTCACCGGTCAAAGTATCCTCGAAACTGTATGGCCAAGAAAAGTTGAATCAATAATCCTACAAGCTTTTCTTCATTTGAAAAATTCATATTTACAATTTTTGTTTATTTTAATTTACAAAGTTTGGATGTGACAGTTTCACATTTCTGAGAGCAACGACGATTGAGCTTGTTTCCATGGCTAACTAAGTGAAATTAGTCAAGAAAGATAAGAATTGGCTATAACTCAGTAATTTTGTGAAAAACACATATTATTGCTTGTATCACTGAAAAGCTTAAAAAATGGAACTAGGGAAAATTTTTAAAATAGCCAAATTTTTTTTTTCGAAATATCTAGTAAGCCATGAACTTTTAAAAATCTGAAAGGCGCATATTTATGACCCCACAAAACTGCATATTCTTTTCCCATTTAATAGATTCTCTATCTTCAGTTGTTTCCGAGATACCCATAGAGAACATCGTAGGAAACTCACTCTGTATATGTAAAATATAAAAGACAACCTCGTAACTATTTCCAGTTCACAATATTTGATTGTAATTCGTCTTAAAGAAATAAACATCAAACTTTTCTTTCTTAGATCCATTCTCATCCACTGAAAGGAACCAGCACATTTGATCCAATAGACCGCGACATCGTACTACCCGGTACTTGGCTACCGGTAGCCATAGCAGTCGACTGGGTAGGCGACAAACTCTACGTAGCAGACGCGGTAGGCCAAAAAATCGACGTCTTCGAGCTCCACGCCTCCCGAGACCAAAGCAGGTGGCACGCCATAGTCCTTAGCGCCAACCTAACCAACCCAGCTGACATAGCCCTCGATCCAACAGTTGGCTACATGTTCATAGCTGACAGTTCCCAAGTTCTCAGAGCCAACATGGATGGAACGAATTCTCTATCAATCGTTTCCGAAGCCGCCTACAAAGCTTCCGGTGTAGCAGTGGATATAATCGCTAGAAGAGTGTTTTGGTGTGATTCTCTTTTGGACTACATTGAAACGGTAGACTACGATGGACAAAAAAGGTTCCTGGTCGTTCGAGGACAGCAAGTTCCGAGTCCAGCAAGATTGGCTTTGTTCGAGAACAGGATATATTGGACGGACAGTACCAAGCAGGGAGTGATGTCGGTGGATAAGTTTGAGAGTACCAGTATTCAGTCGATTTACCGTATGAGGGATATAAGGGATCCTAAAGGGATTAAAGCGGTTCATCCGTTGAATCAGAGGTACGTGAGGAATCCTTGTGGAAATAATAATGGCGGATGTCAGCATATGTGTATTGTGACGCAGACGGAGGTCATCAAGGGAACTCTTCCTCCAATTTTAGGTTAGTATTTCGTATTAGTTGAATACAGTCAGATTAAATACAGAGACTTATAAAATTGAGAGAATATATAAAACTCAGAGATACACTCAGATTAAAGTAGTTATTAAGTTTTTTTAGCAAGCTGGATCAACTTTAATTAGTAAACTCAGTTTTTTATAAACTTTAGTATTTAGCATAATTATTTTAATATTTGGCATAATAATATAATTAATTATATATAAAAATTCATGAAAATAGGGCTAAAAATAACAAAAATATAACATTTTTATTTGACCAAAAATTTATCTTCTAAAAAAAATTCTAAAAAAAGGTAGCTTTAAGCTTATAACGGAACAAAAATATAAAAAACCTCGAAATATTCTTATGGATTAAAAGTTAGCTGTCTAGCCGCTACGGGTAACTGACTTACGAGTCGACAAAAGATGGAAAACTAGAATTAATCGATTTGATATTGTCTGATATTATTTTTTACGAATGTAAGAACAATAATTCAAAGTTTATGACTTATTGCTAGTCAAACTTCTATAGTTTCAACAGTGACTCGCTCACTAATCTATGGTATATTTTTGAATTTTCAGGTTACAGATGCGCCTGTAACATCGGTTATAGACTAATGTCCGACCAACTGCACTGCGACCTAGTCGAAGACTTTTTGATGTATTCCCAACAAAGATTCATCAAAGGCAAGGTGCTGGAACCTGTAGTAGAAGGTTTCAGTGACGCTATTTTACCAGTTGTATCCAGAAGAGCTAGGTAATATTTTTAATGTTTATAGGAATTTTATGTTTTATTTTTATCTATAAAATCGCCCGCTGAAGTTTGGTGTACTATTTTTTTACACCCTCTATAAGTTTTAAATTTTAATCAAGTTATTTTGTTCTCTAGATTCGTGGGTCTGGACTTCGACGCTAGCGAGGAACAAATCTACTACTCGGACGTCCTTCAAGACGTCATTTACCGCGTCCATCGCAATGGAGAATCAAAGGAAATCGTCCTGGCCTCCCAAAACGAAGGAGTTGAAGGCCTTGCCGTAGATTGGGCTGCCAAAAACCTCTATTACATCGATTCCAGAAAAGGAACCCTTAACGTCCTGTCAACTAGAAACGTCACTTACCGGAGAACCCTCTTGAAGAACCTGAAACGACCCAGAGCGATAGTAGTGCATCCAAACAAAGGCTTTCTGTTTTTCTCCGAGTGGGATAGGCCCGCTAATATTTCCAGAGTTCTGACAGACGGAACTAACCTTACCGTGTTTAAGAATCTCACTCTTGGATGGCCTAATGGGCTGTCTATCGATTTTAGAACGGACAGGTTGTATTGGTGCGATGCCTTGATCGATCACGTGCAGCATTCGAATTTGGATGGGAGTGATGTGAGGACTGTGAACTCCAGGCTGATCAGGCATCCTTTCAGGTAAGAATATCTCCTTGTTTGAAGAAAAGTATGTTGGATTAAATATTTTACGGAAAAAACTACGGAATTTTCTACGGAAATTACGGAAAGTTATCTTCGTGTTGACTTGGATCAAGTTTATACTTGGATGATGCCATAATATGTATGTTTATATGGATCTTGTGACTCTGGACGTGAACACTTGTACGCTGTTTCTATCGTATCTATCGTTTTATCCTGCCGACGCGACAGTTGCTACAACAGATGCAGCGTACAAGTAACAGGCGCACAGCATATAGTTAATAAGGTATCATCCAAGTGTACCTGATGCAAATACACTTGGATGCTGCATCAAATTTGGTACAAATGTACCACTGCGGCAACACTGTTTTCTAGAATATAATCGGCACGGACACGATCCCCGTTGTCCACTCGGTGTAACATATATTGAAGGCCCGGACGTGGCCCGGTGTCTACTGCACGGAACGTGCCCGGCTCGGGTACGGCCCGGTGTACCATGAATCAGCCTTTTTATGCCTTTTTGCGTTAGCTAAAAAAACTATTCGAAATTTATAAATAATTATGTAAAAATATAAAATGAAAAGTTGATAACAAAATTAATAAACAATCAATTAAATTTAAAACAACTACAACAAAATCAAAAGTTTCAGCTGTATAATCTGTATAATTGGCTTTATTAGTTTATTTAATTATTTTTAAATGAACATTTTTTGGTAAAATAAAGTACTAATTCACCACAATACACCAAAACCTTTTAAAATATAACATACCTAGTGTACACAAGCATAAAAAGGTCTTAACCCCTGCAAGTGCGCTAATTTCCATTAAACACTTTACTTTTAACACTGGACGCGCGTTTCGTCAACCAGCTTAGCATCATCAGTAGATGATGAAAACTGATGCTTAGCTTCAAATTTATGGTTAGCATCCAGTGTTAAAAGCAAAGTATTCAAAATAAAGCCAATAAGTATGGATATGACACTGTCCTCTCACATTGTCACATTGTCGACGACATTCAAACATAAAATTAATTATTTTTCCAGCATCGTCATCTACAACGATTACATGTACATCACCGACTGGCGCCTGGATGCAATAATCCGCCTTCACAAGCTTACCGGTGAAGGCGAAGAGGTCCTGGTTCGAGAACCCCAAACCAATCGACTGTACGGCGTGAAAATCTACTCGAAAAACGAACAGAACGTTACGGAAAACTACCCTTGCCACTCTCTGGGAAGTCCCTGCTCCAAACTGTGTTTCGCCATTCCGACGGAAGATGGCAGTAAGTTACAGGCCAGGTGCGGCTGTCCATATGGTGAAAGGCTTGGAGAGGACGGGACTAGTTGTTTGGACGACCCTAGTCACGAACCGCCGGTACAGGCTTGTCCGAATAGTTGGGACTTTACCTGTAACAATCAGCGATGCATTCCAAAGTCTTGGGTTTGTGATGGGGACGATGACTGTTTGGACAATAGTGACGAAGAACAGAATTGTACTAGTAAGTCTTTATACAGTATACTATAAGTCTTTAAATATATCTAGTCGCTCTTTACAAATGCGATAGAAATATTCGTTGGTTTGTTCAAAGGTTTGTTCAGATTAGTAATCAATGACATCTAATAGATGCCATTTCTAGTAATCGTATTTTAAGGTGTAAAGATTTGTTCTAAGTGCGGGTTTACGTGCATCCGTCATGTGTCATCTGTCGTCGATTTTACATAATTTTATTTGGCAAAACTATTCCAACTGACTTCAGAAAAACGATAACTCTTAAATATTTCTTTATTTCTTTAGAACCAACATGTAGTGCACAAGAGTTCCAGTGCAAATCAGGCAGATGCATTCCTCTAACTTTCAAATGCGACGCTGAAAACGATTGCGGTGACTTCAGTGATGAAACAGGCTGTGTGAACGTTACTTGTAGTGCCACTCAGTTCCACTGTGATAACGGAAGATGCATACCCAACAGGTATAACTCATTTTACTTGTTTTGTCTTGCTCACCATGAAGGTTTTATAATAAAAATATCTTGGTTATAGTTGGAAATGTGACTCAGAAAATGACTGCGGTGATGGTAGCGACGAGGGTGATTCCTGTGCAGAGAAAACTTGTGCCTATTACCAATTCACCTGTCCAAGAACTGGACACTGTATTCCTCAAAATTGGGTGAGTTGAATGTTTTTATTTAAGGTAGAGACCAATTTCAAAAATAATGTTTTCCATTACACTTGGGGTTGCGACTAATAACTTTTGGTGTTACAACAGCAAAATAAAACACTAAATCACCAAAACACACCAAAACACTTTTACTTTTGCACAGGAAGTGCGTTTCGCTAACCAAGTTAGCATCATCAGCAGCTATCGAAAGATGCGTACAACTTATCTTAGATAGGAACTATCGGAAACAAGAAATAGCCATCTTATCTGATAGTCAAGCAGCGTTAAAAGCGATCAATTCAGTATCAATCAATTCGAAATTGGTCAAAGAATGCATAGAGGAGCTGATCAAATTAGGCTAAGAAAACAAAGTCCTCCTACTCTGGGTGTCTGCTCACCAAGGAATAGAAGTCAATGAAAAAGCAAATGATCTAACTAGAAAAGGAGCGAACACTTCACTAACTGAACCTGAACCGTTCTGCTTCCCAAGTGGTAACCAACTAAAAGCGGAACTCAAGAACTTGGAAGACTCCATCCGCAACCTTAAATGGAAATCTTGCAACGGTCTAAGACACTCGAAGAAGACACTTAGGGCTTACGACCAAGAAAAATCAAAGATCTTCCTGGATTTAAGTAAGAACAATCTTCGGATTGTCACAGGGTTTTTGACAGGATACTGTGTCCTCAAAACCAAACCAAATCAAAACACCAGAACACCTCATCACTGAGTGCGCCTAGACGACAACCATTCGTGCCATGGCCGACTTTGGTACGACTGATATTGTAGATGGAGAAGTACCCTCTGTAAAACCGTCCCAGATACTGGCTTTTGTCAAAGCCCTGGGACTGTATGATGAGTTATAATTCAAGAAAGGGGGACATAATAGATCTGTAAGGTCGTAGTGATTAACCCCCCTCCCATTCATTCTAAATGCTAATTCTAATCATTCGCAGATGATTAAAACTAAACTAATTATTAGGTAATAGGTAATCCTAAAGAAAACACACCTCCACTGGAAAGGTCGGGTATTTATGAAATTTCATGTTAAGATTGTAATCAGAAATATGTTGGGCAAACAAAAAGATCCCTGAGAAGATCAATATTAACTAGATTTAAAGAACGTATAGCTTAGATAAGATATGGTAGACTGGATAAATCTTGCGTTGCTCAATATACTGTTGATAAAGAACATTGTATAGATATTAATCATTTAAAATTAATTAAACTAATAATCATCTGCTGATGATGCTAACATGGTTAGCTAAAACGCGCGTCCAGTTCAAATTTAAAGTGTTTTGGCGTATTGTGGCGAATTAGTGTTTTATTTTGTTTTTATACTGTAACTATACATTTTTATTATTATTTGTTAGGTTTGCGATGGCGACGATGATTGTTTTGATAAACAAGACGAACAGGACTGTCCTCCAATCACTTGCAAGCCCAATCAGTTTAAATGTGCTGACTTGAGACAGTGCGTCCAGGAAAGTTACAAATGCGACGGTATTCCAGATTGTAATGATGGCAGTGACGAACTAGGATGTCGTAAGTAACACATCTTTATATACAGGGAATTTCACATAAACAGCTGATTAATATTTTTTGCAATGTCATTTAGATGATTTATTTTTCTTTTGTGTCAAGTGGATAAAGATAGTTCTAGTTATTTTTTATACAAGACGATAAAATGGTATTTTATCGTCGACCGAAAAGATTAATTCACGGGCGATGAAATCGCGAGTGAATTAATTTCGGGAGACGATAATGCAATTTTATCGTCGTGTATAAAACAATATTTTTTTCCATAAAAAATATTCAGAAATTATTATTTCAAGGAATTTATTACGAGTAGAAAAAATATTGTGCTGGGTTGACGTTGGTTTCTATGTAATTTGACAAATAAATAAAGCTGTCTCTTTAGTTGTCAGTTTTGAGTCAATATTTTTTAATTCTCTTTCGTGTCGATTGCTGATTGAATTAGAGCCAGAAATGGCTCAAAACGAAATAAGTAAATTACCAACAGATATTCAGGCTGAGGTGACAAACGCCATATCCAAACTACTTCCATTTAACTCCCGAATAACTTATGAAAAAGAATACAACAATTTTTAAAAATGGAAGCAATTAAAAAAAGTGCTAGAAGACATAAAGTTTTTAACCTATCCTCGCTGTTAAAGTATCATTTAATCAATCCTTGCGGTTAAAGTACAGGCAATTTTTGACAGTTGCTATGGAAAAAATAATATTTTTCCATGACATTGACACTGGAAAGACTTTATTGCATAGTTGTGTTGATGAGGACTAAAAGCAAAGACTTGTATATTAATGGGAAAGTTAACAAAGTTAAAATTATTCACTATTCATCTGTAAATTTAAGAAATATACCAAGATATTACAAAAAGTAAGAGAACTATCACTGGTCTCCTTGCAATATTTTACAAAACATATAATCTTTTAACTGAATAATTCTAAGTATTTGTATCTTTTTACAGCTTCTATAGCCCCAGATCAATGCAACCTGGAAAAACAATTCCAATGCCAGTCCTCTGGCATTTGTATCCCGAAATCCTGGCACTGTGACGGCACTCCAGACTGCGATGACAGGTCTGATGAACCGGAATCTTGCGGAAATGTCAACTGCCCTGCCAACTTCTACAAATGTAACAACACCCAATGCATATTTAAGGTATGTTCCTGACATCACGAACCCCAATTTTTGACAGATCTGTTTGACGTTTCAATTGACACATTTGAATATTTTGTAAGAAATTAAAATAAAAGTGACATTATGCAAATCTATTAGAAAAAATGATAATATATCGGGTGTACCATTTAAAAAATTTGAGATTTTTCAATTTTAAGTAGTTGAAATTCATAAATATAGTTTGAACACCCTGTACCTTTACATATATCTCTTTTTCTTCATTTCTGTAAAACTCTCCTACCATATTTTAGTCGTCCAACTTCAACAACAATGGCATCACTGACAATTTTTTACCACACTGAGAAATCTAACATTTGTTTTAAACAAATCTAAATATTACAAAAACTATTAATTTTAGGTATGTAAGATTATACAGGGTGGTCCGAACTGTATTCCGGAAACTTCGGAGATAAAAATAAGTAAAAAAGTTCGTATAAATGTATGTCCTAAAATGGTTAGTTTCGGAGATACAGGGTGTAGAAGTTTCATTTTTATTTCAATTTTTTCCAAATAAATAATATTTAGATGAAAATTGGTGTCTGTGAATTTCCTGACATGAGAAATTTGATTTTGATGTTATTATGGCTCCTATTTGTAGGGGACGCCACTTACATGTATTTTAACTGTTTTGAAGAGTAATAACTTTTCGTCCGGACCTGTATAAAAATACTGAGTGAAAAATGTACATTTCCGTGATTTTTTACGCAAGAAATGTCTCTTGGTAAAAATGATTACGAGCAACCGTTCTCAAGATATTTACAATGGAAATTGTCAATGCATGTCATTAGTGACAAAAAAATAAACATGTTGAGTAGATAGTTATTTGACTGAAAAGATAAATTTCGGAATTTTTTGTTTTTTTAAATTAATCATAAATTTTTCTTCGAAAAAATGACAATAAAACAGTGTCTGTTGAACTTTTGGCACAAAAATATTTCAAATTTATGATTTCAGTCTAATAACTATTCAGTCATATAATAATTTGGATTCTAAATATCTCGAGAACCATTACTTGAGACCTTTTTTACCTAAAAAACGTCGTAAATGTATATTTTTTTACTCAGTAGCTTTATACAGGTACGGACGAAAAGTTGTTACTCTTCAAACCCTTTGAATAAGAAGACTAAGGAAGGAGCATATCAAAAATCTTAGGTACACCGCGATGGGCCTCAAATATGGCCGACTTAAATTCCGGTTTATCAGTGTCGTTCTAATTTTATTTAAAAATTGTAAAACTATGATGTAGGGTAGACGTGGGGTAGACTCAATAATTTGTTGTTTTATTTTACGTTGTGAATAAATGTTGGTAGTTATTAAAATTGTTATAAAAATATATAATTATAATAAAAATAGATAAGTTATAATAAGTATTTATTACCACAAACATCCTATACGCTACTGAAGCAGGTAAGTCAAATTAACGTATCTAAATTCTTTGACATATAATCTTTGACAAGTAATAAATAAAAGCAAAAATGCAAGAAAAATATATAATTTAGTTAATTTAAGTGAATTTCATAAATGATCAGTTTACTACACGTATGTATATTATATAGTCACTTACTAGCGAAAAGTTGTTCCATTATTTCACTCAATTTTTGCCGAGATCTACCGCACGCTACACAACCAACTATTTTAGAATCTTTTTCGATAAATCGCGATAGTGTCACTGTTAATTTAAGTGCTGCCACAATTTCCATCTAGATTTACTACCTTTATACAACTATCAGTAGTAGAATAAATAATAAATAACATAAAATAAGCTCCGTAAAGACTGACAAATCCACAAAATTTCAAATCAAATTCAAATGTGTCAAATGAATCGTCAAACAGAACTGTCAAGGATCCCCACCCTAGAGAGCTTTTATGGTGCTTTTTCCGCCCACCATGCATGAATACATGGATAGCATTATGCTCCTTCCTTAGTCTTCCTATTCAAAGTTCAAACCAGTTAAAAAATATGTAGGTGGCGCCCTCTACAAGTAGGAGCCATATTGACATCAAAATCAAATTTCTCATGTCAAAAAACTTCCAGACACCAAGTTTTATCTAAATCTTAACTTTACTTCAGAATTTTTTTGGAAAAAATCGAAATAAAAATGAAACTTCTACACCCTGTATCTCCGAAACTAAGCATTTTAGGACATACATTTATACGAACTTTTTTACTTATTTTTATCTGCAGAATATGCTGCCGAAGTTTCTCGTTCGTTTCCCGTTTCGAAGTTCGGACCACCCTGTATATAAAAAAGTTATAGAATTTCACGCAGAATCTAAAAATAAAATAAAAAGTGGGGTGTTATATCCGTTACACTTTTTTGAAGCACTCTGTATACTCTGTAATACTTTTAAAATGTGTACCTTAACCTTCCCTATAAGTTTTATATTTGACATTTTTTTGTAAACCTCGAAACAAACGAGATAGTGGACTCTATCGTTGATCACCCTGTACATCGATAATTTTCTGAGGCAATTCACAATCGACGCTACAGGCAGCGCGCAGCGCTCCGAAATTCTGTCGCGTGTGCTATGGAATTCCTGAACCATGCGACGCGAAACAAAAAATTTGACAATTATTAAAGACTTGATCGAAAAATGACGAAAATACCGTTTAATAAAGACATATTTCGAAAAACTTACCATGTTAAAAGACGTCACAGACTGCAAGAAGATAATGTTACGAACAAATTCACTCGCGCTCAAGTAATTCCACAAAAATATTGGGAAAAAAGTCGACATAAAATTTCGCAGATCTCTTGTCTGCATATTCTATCACAACTGGCAAACTTGTTGAGATTTTGTAGTCGGCTGCGACTGGAATTGACGGTAAATGAGATTTTTGTCATTTATGATCTTAGAACAGACAGATGTGATTGAAGAGTGTCACTGATTTAAGGTAAATTTACTGAAAATATTGTTCTGGAGAATAAATGTTTTTAGAATAGGTATATTATAGTCGAACATTTGTTGCATTATGTCCTTTTTGATGTTCTAAATTATGGAATTAGTAAAAATGCCTTTATTAGTAAATATCACTTGAGAAACTGGATATATATTTTGTAAGAATTCTAGAATTATAATTTACTCTATCCATATTTTAAACTATTATTTTTATGACGTACATCTTTCGATTTATGATGAAAAGACGTTGTTTAATTAAAATATTTTCAAAAATTAATATTAAATTTAGAAAAAAAACAAGTAGAATTTTTTCTCACAATCTCTGTTTAAAAATATTTATTTATAACCACATATGGCAATGTGCATCTCTCTTGCTTCTGATTTTTCTGCAGTTTCATTATGATCAAATACAACTGTGACAACGTTTTTTTCTTGATCATATATGGCACTTTACTACTGAATACACTATAAAACTGATTTAAAACATATTTATTATAAATTTTAGGCATATATTTGCGATGGAAAACCAGACTGTGAAGATGGATCAGACGAGAGCTACATACATGCCTGTACCAAGCCTCCATTTAGGTAAATAAAAATATTTCAGAAATAACTATAGCTAAAGTGACGAGATTTTGAGTCAACCAATGATAGACATAGCCAGGGCGGCATAAATTCAAACAAGTTCCAAAATGTAATAGCTGCAGGTTCTATCTTCTAAAAGAACTTTGAATCATCAAAAAATATTAAATTTTAGCCCAGTTATTAAACATTTGTTCTGGTTACGCTCAAAAATTTTGTAGATTGCATATTTTGGCAGATATTTGCGAAAATGATTTTGTTTGATTGTGAAATTGAATAATAAACGTTAAAGTTAACTAATATTCTTCATTTGCTCTCTGCAGGTGTGCTTCAGATCAATGGTTATGTCCCGGAGTCACAGACCGTTGTGTGAACCTCACCAACGTCTGTGATGGCAAGCCTCACTGTCCCAATGGTGCAGATGAAGGTCCCGACTGTGATTTTAAGGAATGTCAACACCAAACTGGTCTCTGCTCGAATGGATGTAAACAGACGCCATCAGTATGTATTTTATTATTTTATTAATTTATACTAATAGAAGTGGACAAAACTGTTATTACTGAATAACAGTTCAAAACTAATTTTGAAAATAACAGTTTAAAATAACAGGTTTTTGTTATTTATTAAATCTAGCGTTTCATTCGCTGTTAGACAACCCTCTGTATATAAATTATACTTTAGTATATTTATTTTGTTATACTTAGGGACCGTTATGCTTGTGTCCCCAAGGAGAAACACTAACGAGCGATGGCTTGAACTGTGAAGACCTGAACGAATGTGACCCTCCAGGAGTGTGTTCACAAAGCTGTGTCAACACTAAAGGATCCTATTTTTGTAGCTGTGTTCCTGGATACCTTCTAGAACCAAACAAGCATTCCTGCAAAGCGTTTAGTAAGTCAAAAATGTCTTGTTCTTAGTTTTGCACTTAACCATAAATAAAATCAACATTTTTTGAGTGATATAACTGATTTTGATGATTTTTATTTTATTTCAGATCATTCTTCTGCATTTTTGATTATCTCAAACCGTCATTCTATCCTGGTAGCTGACCTAAAAGACCAGAGCCTGGAAAGAGTACCAATTATAGTAGAAAACGTGGTAGCTACAGCCTCCAACATGCATTCAGGTACAATTTTCTGGTCTGACATGAAACTGAAGAAAATATCCAAACTGGATAGGAATAGTGTACCAGTGGATATTATTTCAACCGGTTTGGACTTGGTAGAGGGTTTGGCGTATGATTGGATCGGTGGGAATATTTACTGGTTGGATTCCAAACTGAATACCATCGAGGTGGCAAAGGAAAATGGCTTGAACAGAATTGTATTGGTGAAGGAGAATATTACTCAACCTAGAGGGATGTGTTTGGATCCAAAACCAGGGTAGGTTTAGTATAGATAACCAAACTTTCGTGCTTACATTGTAAACAGTGATATTACGTGGTTATAATTATTACTTGGGGTATGTACAACTTTAGAAATACCGACAACGCCCAAAATAGACTATTTTTTGGGCTTCATCACTGAGAATATCCGCATTTGTACGTTTTGTGAATTTTTTGTTGACAAACTTTAAAGAAAACTTCTAATGCTCTGCTGTTTAGTTTTTTTAAATGCCAACTTGCCTTCAAATACTACCATTACTTAATTGTGTTAGTTAATAAATTATTCTAAATAAATGTGGATTTGAATCAGAAATCCATATAATAAGTTCATTCGTCAAAAAATGAAATAAAATTTATAAGGTGTTACTTTTTATCACACTGTCCAGTATTTGGAGCAATTATTAATCAACGCAAAGAGTCAATTAATGTAATTCGAATACTGGGATCATATTAATTGGTCCTCTTTTACAAATATTTAAACAGTTTTTTTATTTTCTTAATGAAATAAGCAAACTATTCGACAATATTAATACCTGTAGCCTTTGAAAATTTATTAAAATTTTAAAATAATAATAATCTAAAATAGCCTCTTAAAATAATCTAAAATATCAATATTCTATGGGTATGTTGATAAATGAGGTCTAAATTATATATCGATTTATCGATTTATTAATTTATTGATTTATTGATTTATTAATTTATTGATTTATGGATTTATTGATTTATTGATTTATTGATTTATTGATTTATTGATTTATTGATTTATTGATTTATTGATTTATTGATTTATTGATTTATTGATTTATTGATTTATTGATTTATTGATTTATTGATTTATTGATTAAATTGATTTATTGATTTATTGATTTATAGATTTATTGATTTATTGATTTATTGATTTATTGATTTATTGATTTATTGATTTATTGATTTATTGATTTATTGATTTATTGATTTATTGATTTATTGATTTATTGATTTATTGATTTATTGATTTATTGATTTATTGATTTATTGATTTATTGATTTATTGATTTATTGATTTATTGATTTATTGATTTATTGATTTATTGATTTATTGATTTATTGATTTATTGATTTATTGATTTATTGATTTATTGATTTATTGATTTATTGATTTATTGATTTATTGATTTATTGATTTATTGATTTATTGATTTATTGATTTATTGATTTATTGATTTATTGATTTATTGATTTATTGATTTATTGATTTATTGATTTATTGATTTATTGATTTATTGATTTATTGATTTATTGATTTATTGATTTATTGATTTATTGATTTATTGATTTATTGATTTATTGATTTATCGATTTATTGATTTATTAAGGATTTATTGATTTATTGATTTATCGATTTACTGATTTATTACTTATTGATTTATCGATTTATTAGTTAATTAATTCGTCTGTCTCTAAGTGTAATGATTTATTGATATATTACTTACCAGTAGTATTGATTTATTGATTTGTTAATTTATTGATTTCTTGATTTATTATCTTATTGATTTATTGATTCGTCTGTCTCTAAGTGTAACGATTTATTGATTGATTACGTATTGATTTATCGATTTCATGATTTATTGATTAATTGATTTGTCTGTCTCTAAGTGTAACGATTTTTTAATTTATTGATTCGTCTGTCTCTAAGTGTAATGATTTATTGATTTATTACTTTAATCCTGCTGGGTCTCGGTCTCGTTCTCGGCTGAGAATTTCTTTCTCTCGGCCGAGACTAAAAATCCGAGTTCTGTCGGACCTTACTGAATAACCCTGTATAATATGTATTTTCTTTTCAGAGCGAGATGGCTGTTTTGGACAGATTGGGGCGAAAACCCACGCATAGAACGCATGGGAATGGACGGTACTAACAGATCCATCATCATCAACACGAAAATCTACTGGCCCAACGGCCTGACTCTGGACACGACCACAGACCGAATCTATTTCGCCGATTCCAAGCTGGACTTCATCGATTTCTGCAACTATGACGGTACAGGACGTCAAAACGTCCTAGCCGGTAGCCATTATCTCCTCCATCCTCATTCCTTAACCATTTTCGAGGACACCCTGTATTGGACGGATCGCCAGCTGAACCGAGTACTTTCCGCTCACAAATTTAAAGGAAACAACCAGACTGTGGTGTCTCATTTGATATCGCAACCGTTGAGCATCCACGTGCACCATCCCAGCTTGCAACCGATCACTGGGAACCCTTGTGCTCAATCGAATTGTGAGCACATTTGCCTGGCTAGTCCTTCGTCTTCGTCAGGGTATACTTGCAAGTGTCGGGCAGGTTTTAAATTGACGCCTGAGGGACGGTGTGCTGAAGATGACAGTGCTTTTATTCTGTTGATGAAGGGATCTCAGATTATTGATGTGGGTCTGACACCTGGCGAGAATGCTGCTAATGGAATAACTCCGGTGATTGGTGCTGAGAATGGTAAACAAGTGGAGTACGACAGGAAGACTAACACTGTGTATTGGTTGGAAGGCAAACCTGACGATGAAGACAATGTAAGTTGATGTATTTTTGTTTTTCACTAACGGGAACTAAAATTTTATCAGTATCTACGATCGTTTTTTGTGACAGTACATAATATCAAATGTATCTTAGATTGTGTACCATATACTAAGGGCTGGCAAAGGTTAGTCTTGGGCCGAGATTTCCGTATGTAAGAAGAGTACAATGCGTTTATAATGTACTGAACAAAGAGAGGACAGTAAACACGTTGCCAAACGTATGAAATAAACCGAGAAACTGTGCACATCGCTAAGAGACGTGGAAGGGGATATAGCAGATTTGTCGCAGTTGACCGGTCGACCCAATCAATACCTCTGCAGTACTTAAGTTCTAGGTAAAGGTGTACGTCATGCGTTCAGCTTCACGATTTAATTACGTCTCGTGATACTTGATTTGTTTATTTATTAATGAGTCGTTGTAATTTTCCCTATAGCTTGAATTTTTTTAAGTGCAAGCTAGAAACACTTGCATTTTTGGTAAAAATAAGTGGAATTCAGTGGGTGTTCGATAGTGGTCGCGCTATTAGAACTCTGCATTCAAAAATCGATATCTCGAAATCTATTAAAAATAATAGATTGTAGTTTTTTCAAGAACTTTGTTATTATTTCTGCTGTATTTTCTTTGTAGACAGTCTGTGAAAATCTTTATCAATAAAAAAATTACACGATGTAGTGGAGATAGTGGACCCCCCTGTTTTTATCCGTTCTGGATTATAAATTCGTTCCGTTTCTTTCTTGTTTACATTGACTTCATTTACTGTCTCTTGGAGTGTCAATTTTATGTTAATGCTCTAAACACCTCCGTTCTTTTAACTTTATCATATGCCTGCTGAAAGTCGATAAATAAAATTATTTTTTATTTCCTTTAGTGTACTTTATGGACAACCCCGTTAGGAGGAGGCAACAAAACCCAACTTTTGGGTGTGGATAATGGTATAGTGGGTGCTCCAAGTGCCATAGCCTTCGATTGGTTAGGAAGGAACATGTACATAGCCAACAGGTTGGCTAGTAATTTCGAGGTGGTCAGGGTTGATGGGAAAGTCCGACACAGAACTATTATTTTGGCCAATGATGGTAACAAGACTTCTGTGGCTAAACCAAGAGCGATCTGCCTGGATCCTACTGAAGGAAAGTTGTACTGGACTGACGAAGGTGGGAATGGAGTGCCACAGAAAATTGGCAAGGTGAGTTTATATCAGAGATATAGAGACATACAGGGTGGCGCACCTCATTCGCCTCGGTTGATTATATGAAAACAGAAAGATGTAGAAACAAAATATTTTATGGGTATATGTGGGGAGACAATATGCACCATTTAAAATTATTTTGAAATATACCGGGTGTTTCAGAACTAAGATCCATACCAAAGTTATATTTTTTCTTATGGAACACACCCGGTATTATAGTTCATTTTTGTATTCTTGGGTCCAAAAACAGGCATTTTTTATAAGGGTTAAATATGTTTAAAATTTTTGTTTTTTTGAGATATTTAAAGATATTTAAATATGCATGCTACAATAGAATAGATTATTAACACCCCGTACATTACTTTTCAGAATTATATAGTTACTGTGCTGAGTTTAAAGGTAGAGAAATAAACTTTACTGAAAAATGTTATTGCTTCCGTAAATTTATACAGGAGTACCAAAAATTGCTGATCTATTTAAGAGATTTATTATACAGGGTGTCCCAGAAATAAGTGCAAGTATTTTAACTGGTAGTATAGTTCAACCCCAGAAACACGCCTATGAGTTTTTTTTGGCGAAAAAAAAAACTTGAAAATTCTAAATTTTTGAAAAAAAAAATTGGAAATTTTTTTAGTTCTTAGTTGAAAAACATAATTTCTTGATAATATGGCAACATAGGTATTAGATGAAATTTACAAGAAAAAAACTCCAGAAAAGATCCAGTGGTTCTCAAAATTTTAGCAAAAAAACTCTTTTTTTGGAAATTTTCAAAGTAAAATAACTCCGTTATTTTGGACTTATTTGAAAAATGATAAAGAGAAAATATGTTTCTTTTAACCCCCTTAAAATACTTGCACTTATTTCTGGTATATAAAAACTTTGTTATTTCAAATGCCTGTATTTTTTAAAATAAATCGAAGCAAATTCAAATGCTCTTTCAAACTATATTAGGTTTTCCTATACCTATCTAGCTCAGATTTTGTATAAATAGCATGTATGATGTATGATAGTGCTATATCATATTTATATTGTCTTGTAGGAGTATAACTTATATGAGCAAAATATTACATGATCTGAAATATCGTTAAGAGGAAAAATTTAGTGATTTCCACTATAGATCTTATTTTATTTTATGACACATTTTAGGTAAACATGGACGGATCCAACCCAGTAATCCTAGTAGAGGACATCGACCGTCCCGAAGCCATAACCATCGATATCGACTCAAAAACCATCTACTACAGTACCCAATACCCACCCATGATCCTCAGCATAGACACTTTTGGCGGACGAAAATCCACCATTTTGACAGAGGAAGGTTATATCTCGATGCCAAAAGCCATCAGCGTCATCGGTAGCAGACTGTACTACTTGGACCCTAGTTACGAGAAGTTAGTGCAGGTGGCACTGCCCACTGGTACCAATCCAAGGATGATATTGGAAAACGAACCCGATCTAAAGACATTTACCATATTCAGGAAAAGGCCATTTGTGAGAAATACAATGAAAAAAGTTTGTTTATAGATTTAAAATTAATTAAATTTACAGGGAGATCACCCGTGCTTGATTAATAATGGAGGATGTGAGCAGATTTGTATTCCTGGGGAGGCTAGATCGAGAAAATGCGTTTGCAGCATAGGTTACAAGGGTAATGAGATCAGTTGTTCGCCGTACAAGACGTTTGCTGTGGTTACACAATTGGACAAAGCAAGAGGGTATGGAAATTAAAATTAATTTTAAATACATAGCTAATAGGTAGTTGGGGGTTGGAACCTTTGGTGTTACAGTAGCAAAATAAAGCTCTAATTCACCACAATACACCCAAAACACTTTATATATCCCCCATATATCTAATTTTTAAATGTATGCTTTTCTTTTTTTAGATATAGTTTGAAAGACTCTTCCGAAGCGATGGTTCCAATAACTGGATTGGGACACCATATTCTACACGTAGATGTTCATTATGCAGAAAACTGGATCTACTGGGTGGAATTTAATAGAGGACTTTGGAACGGAATCTTCAGAATAAGACCAAATGGAACAGGTGATTATTTTTTCAAAATAAATGATTTATTAGACCATAAATAGATACATTTAATTATTGCTATTGGCTCACTCCTCTGCGACCTTTAGAAAACTATTGTAATTTTTTTCTACTCTGTGGACTACATTCTTCAGCCGTATTATTTTGAAAAATCTAATAACTTGGATTCTGAACCTTTTGAGTATTTCGGACTTCCATTGTCTTTATTTATTTTGATTAACACAACGTTTCGGTCAGAAGGATCACTCACCGTTATCAAGTGTAAACTCTTCACAGAACACACTAAAGAAGAACGCTAACTCCCATGCATTTTTTTGTTTCAAAACGGTTTCAAATTTGTAAAGAAATCTGTAATCTGTATATTGAAGTGGCGCCATCTAGCCACCCAGGAAAGTAACAAATGTGGCGGCAAATTTAAATAGATGCAATTTATTTTTAAGCAAGACGTATTGACTTGTTCGCCAGTTAGAGCCAATCAGATTTCTACAAAATAATGTGTAGTCATCTGATTGGTCCCAAGTTGGCAAACAAGTCAAATGGTAAAAAAAAAAAGGATTTATATATAAAGGTTAAACAAGGTTAAACTATTGTAAAGTGTTAAATGGTTTGCTTATATTATTTTATGTGCATAAAAACCTACAATAAATAATTTATTTAATTTACAGAAAATTATACCATGAAACATTTTACAAACAAATAAAACAACAGTTTAAAAAGTATAATATTTATTATAGTACCAGATTTAAGAACACAACAAATATCGTTGGAATACAAGAGAAAGTGACGTCCATTAGAAACAATGTTTTATTTACGTGTATTTTTTACATATGGACTTGAACAATTGTGTAATATCACATTGTGGAGTTTATGTACAAAAATATGGAGTTGATCAATTTTTTTTTTGTAAAAATATATGGCGTTGTAAATATTACATTGTTAAAAAATAAAATTCACGAACATTTGGACTTGGTTAGGTTAACTCACCTCACTTTCTCGGATTATTAAATAAAATTGTTAGATAAATCAAAGACCTTTAACTTAAACCTTACCTTTAATAAAGACCTTAAAAATCAAACACAAAACAAAGTTCAAAAAAATTCAAAAATACAAAATCACGATTGTAAAATGAAGATTGCAAAAAACACAGCCAAACAACCAGAAAACAGCGAAACGCACATCTCCGTTCAATTGCAAAACACAACCGAAGAGGAAGGAGGAAGCCGGAAACGGAAAACTGATTTGACATACAGAACAATGACAGAACATAATTAATAGGCCTATTTAGGCAACTATAAAAACAATTTTGTACGCAATTGTTAGGCAACTAGAAAAATTAAAATAAAAATACGCCATCTAGCGCCCCAGGAAATTACTACCCCAAAAAAAAGATCGTTCAAGGTCGTATATCTCAGTTGACTGGCCCTGAAACTCTTCTCTAAAGCCGCGTCCACATTGATCGCGAGCAGGCCGAACGCACACGTGAAACACGAAAAACATGACAAACAGGCGGAGCGAGATGTTCGCGGCGCTTACGACGCTCGTGGTGTTCCACGTGCTTGCAATCACATAAAATGCCTGTTTCGACTGCTCGGCTCTGTCGCGGTACATCAAGCCAACTTTGCGCTTTTTTTTCGATCATATGGTATATTATTAATAATATCAACTATTAGATATCACTAAAGATCGAAAATACGAGATATATTTTTATAAATACACTTTTTAAACTTTTAAGGCAGCAGTATTTATAATATAGGAAATTCAAATAATTCGTGTTAACTCAAAAGCTCAAAAACGATTAGATCAATTTTTTAAAGCTTATAGTAATACTTTTAAATCGAAAAACGAATGCAATTTGATGTAATCAAACAAGTAATAGTCAACTAAAGTAGAGGTGGGAAAATTAAATAATAATTCACAAGATTTAATCATCTGCTGATGATATTAACATGGTTAGCGAAATGGGCGTATTATAGTGCAAAAATAAAGTGTTTTGGTGTATTGTAGTGAATTATTGTTTTATTTGTAACACCAAATGTTCCAACCCCAACTGTAATAAATTAGAGAGATTAAATTATTGAAATCCCCAAGCGAATATTCGCATGTATTTAATGGCAACTTATGATGACAAAGTGATGGAAATACCGGTTCCACAAATTAGCCGCGTTACTTTCGCGACCGTTCCAGGGAAATACCGCTACAAAATATCACGATTTTGTAAGTCCTCCAAGATTCGAGGGGCCCCTTCGCTGTCTCAGACTCGTGGCCCCCGTTATACTAAAGACGGCAGTACTCACCATCATCGGTTAGAAAGCTTGAATACGAGTTATGCTGTGCACTGGTTGTAATTTAAAATGTTTATTCAGTAAAAATAAATAATGAAACCATTGAAATATAACTTAAAAGTTAAAATAAATAAATTCAAGTTTATATTCATAATTATTGTAATCTTTAAAATTATAAAAAATAATAATAATTATTCGATATTTTAAACAAAGAAAATTCCTTCATTTAATTTCCTAAATAGAAAATGCCATTGAGAATTACTGGGGCCTGATAGTTGATAATTATTTTACATGTGGACACCGTTGCTTGCGAGCCGAAAGATCTTGAGAAACACGACAAACAGGAAGCGCAAACAACGCAAGCACAATCAGGAGCAAGAGCGCGAGCAGGGTCATGAACAATGTGGACGCAGCTTTAGATCTCAATTCATCTTATAGTGTCCTTTAGTAGACCGATTACAAAAATGTCTATACCTATGTGGCGGATTCATCTTTCCAAAAAAATCCTTTATGGGTATTCCGCCACTGCACTGCAAGAAAATCTACAAAATAAAATAATTATTTTTTGTAAACACTTCTCTGCGTTAAACCTAAACGGACGCTGCTTGTCAGAAGTTATGTTTACAGTAATACAAATTTGCCTAACAAAGAAAAAAATATGCTTAACGTTTCGGAAAGTTATCTCTTTCCGTCGTCGGAAGCAAAAAATACAAAGAATAAAAGAAAAAAAACATTTAAAATTTTTCGTCATACTATATTGTTATATTATTATAACATAAGCAAAATCAGAATGGAAAAGATGCATATAACGTCCGCCGGACGTTATCATAACGGCCGGCGGCCGTTAAGTTTCTAAGGTAATCGTAACGTGTGTCACCTGCAACAATGACTATTTATTGTCAGTTGGACTTTTCAAAAATTGGGAAAATAGACCATAGCGAGATGTCGCGAGAAATTCCGTTGGAAATACAGGAGGAAGCGGCTGCGGCTACTCAAAATTATACTTCCGACTATAACCAGAGAGAGATATCAGCAGGAATATGACAATTTTTTGAAGTGGCGGCAGGATAGAAGTATAAACAGCGTAAATGAAGCGGTATTGCTGGCTTATGCTAAAAGAATGTCTGAAATGTATTCTCCTACATCACTGTGGACAAAGATATCCATGCTGAAGCTTGCGTTGAGAGTATATGAAAACATCGACATATCAAGGTAAAGCCATTATATTCTTCGATATTTAATCATACTCATCTAAATTATATTTGTTCATAGATTTGGTAAACTGTTCATGTTTCTGAGGCGCAAAAACGAAGGTTATTCACCAAAAAAAAGCCAAAGTTCTGTCGGAGAATGACATAAATAATTTTCTACTGGATGCCGATGATTACACCTGGTTACTCGAAAAATTGTATTGGTGCTTGGTATTCTTGGAGCTTGTAGGCGCAGCGAGCTTTGGTCACTCACAGTTGATGATTTCGAAGATTCGGAGAAAAATATTCTTGTCTCATTAAGAAATACTAAAAATAAGAAAGATAGGAAATTTCTTATTCCAAAAACGGGCAAAAATACATCAACCTGCGTCCTCGTAGCTTTGACAATCCAAAATTTTTCATTGGTTACAAGAAAGCAAGTGTGTTAAGCAAATCGTCGGTATACATACCATCGGGGCGTACCGCAGAAAATTGCAAAATTTTTGAACTTGGAGAATCAGAACGTTATACAGGGCATTCATTTCGTAGATCATCAGCAACCATGCTCGCCGAAAATGGTGGTGATTTACTATCGCTAAAGGAGCTAGGAGGATGGGAGTCTTCAACAGTGGCAGAAACTTACATAGAAAAATCAGTTTCAAAAGAATGAAAATAACAAATCAACTTTTTCATGATAGCTCCAAAAATAATGTGTCTTTAGTGGATACAAATATTTGCCATTCTTCAGTAGCATCATCTTCTTCTATAAAATCTGTAAATCCCTGGGAAGGATTACAGATTTCTAAGAACAACAAGTGCACTTTTAATTTCCATGTTCATTATCATGAAAAATGAATTTTAGTATAAGACATTATGTATTTTTTTATCCTTACTTGTGTTATTGTTCAATAAAATTTGTTATTAAATAGTAGTGTTTATTGCTCTAAAAATCTGCAGTATGACGAAAATCTAGAACGCAACACGGCCGATAACAAATAACGGCCTTGGCTGCTTATGATCCTCGGCTATCGCCTCGGATCACAAACTTCAGCCCGGCCGTTATTTGTTGTTTATCGGCCTTATTACGTTAATAACTATAAATTCAACTATTCGAGAACACTTTACTTTTTTAAAACAGATACGTCTACAAGAAACCGTTGACGTTCTGTTAAAATGACATTTTTAACTTGATATTTAAACTTCAAAATTAACAAATACTACCTGATAACAATTACATAATAAGGTAAAACCAAAAAGCCCCAAACTTTCTGTATTTTTAAATTTTACGTATGTTTTGTTTATTTATCTTGTTGTACCTATTGTTCCTTAAAATCAAAGAAGCGATTGCCATACATTACTAACATCTACAGATGCATGAGCAATACATTTATTTTTATTAGATTGAATTAAAAAAGCCTCTTTTATTTTTCTTTTAGAGGCTATCGCTTCTTTCATTATAATTTTGGCGTTATTAAAATTTATTCTGTGCCCTGTGTCCCAAGAATGCTGACAAATCTTAGATTTGTGAAAATCTCCCTTTCTTAAATAATCTTTATGTTCTTTAATTCAAACATTTAAGGGTCTAGATGTTTCATCAATGTAAAATTTATCGCATTCACAGGGTATTTGGTAAATTCCATTTTTTGTTTGTTGTTAAGTATTCATTGGTTTAGTATGTGATAAAATGGATCTAAGTGTATTTCGTATGTTATATTGTTTTCTTATCCTTCTTATTTTTTCCGAAACGCCTCGTATGTGTGGAATTGTAAGTTGTAATTTTATTTTGTAGATTTTCTTGCAGTGCAGTGGCGAAATACCCATTAAGGTTTTTTTTTTTGGAAAGACCGATTACAGCTTTGATTTTCTGTCTTTGCTTATAAATCTCTTCAAGCTATATCTTGTCGCTGTTGCATCTGTTAATAATTTATTATCTTTTTTCCCCAGAACTGCAGCATATAATCAAAGACGGTATTGGTAGCAACGGTATCAGAGGAATCGCCATCGACTGGATAGCCGGTAACCTCTACTTCACCAACGTCTTCCCCCACGAAAACTACCTAGAAGTCTGCTGGTTGGACGGCAGCAACCGCAAAGTTCTGGTCAAAACGACAGCTGACGCTCCCAGGGAACTGGCAGTGAACCCAATCAAGAGAATACTGTACTGGATCGATTACGGACAGTACCCACGGATCGGAAAATCGTACTTGGACGGTTCCGGTTGGCAGGCTATCATCACATCGGGCGTCAGTAATCCAAGAGACTTGACAATTGACATGAACACTCATGACGTGTACTGGGTTGACGCAAAACTGGATATGATTCAGAAGATTTCGTTTAGTGGTGGTAGCAGACAAGTTGTCAGGTAATTTTTGATGTTTTCTTTTAATAAAATATCTAAAAAAATCATCGATTCTATCAGGAACACATAAGAATGAAGATATAGTATTTACTTCCTCGCTCTTTATATACAGGGTGTTCCGTTTTCTTGTGTTTTACAGAGTTTCTCATTTACAAAGCACAAAACATTTAGAATTTTGACTTATATGTCATGAAATGAAATTAAAAGAAGCGCCCCCTTGAGTTTGCTCGCGCACTAAATTACTAAATTCATGAAATATCGATCCCTATATATTTAATTTAATTTTTTCGAGTATTACAGAAACGTTTTTTTAATTGTAACGAAATTGGTATATTAAATTTATATTTTATATTAAAAATTACAATAAAAAATTGTAATTTATATAACATATAATTTAATTATAATATACCTATTTTCTCACAATAAAAAATTGTTTATATCAATACTCGATCGAACGTTTCTAAAATTAAAACAATTATTGATGTTATTTAAAAATTATGTATTTTACATACCTATAAACTGCAAAAAATGTACAAAACAATTCGAATCTTTCCGAGGATTTGGAAAACGAAAAAATCTGCCATTTTTGTTGTCGCAATTAGGAACGCTATAGTTCTTCTTCGCAGCTTTGCGTTCTCGGTCGAAAAAAGTCATGGCAATTAAATATGAATAATTAAAATAAAGTGTACTTGGTAGAATAAGTACAAATACACCAGTAATTAATGAGGAAATTGTCAAAGTCACACACCGAATATTCACAAAATACAATGAAATCAAAATATCGACATATTTAAAAAACAGATGAATATTTGTTAACTTTTTAATGACAAGCAGCGCCTCTAGTGTTTGTTCGCACAGTATAGCTTTTAGTTCCAGCCATTGCCATTACAGAAAATGTTCTAAAGGGGGATTATTTGTGATATAAAGATGTGGTTTTCACATTACTTTGCTATTTTTTTATGAAACCCAAGATAACCCTCTTACTTCCTAAAATATAGGGCGATTTTTTTTACGTATAATTCAGTAGCGTAACTAGTTTTTCACTGGGAGCTGTCATTTTCGAAATATGTGTCAAACTTTTTTGTTTTTTTTAAACGCGATACCCTGTACATTATTTTGTTTATTTTATTTATCTTGTTATGAGCCTATATAAAAATATAGTATACTCTTTATTGAAAAATCTAGTCAGTTGTGTAATAAAACTCAATTTCTTTCTTCTAGGCGTAACCTACCAAACCCAATGGGTATTGCAATTTACAAAAGCGATGTGTACTGGGTGGATCGAAACCTCAAGGCTGTTTTTAAAGCTTCTAAATTGCCTGGAAACACCTCTATACCTACCAGGGTTCGAACAAATTTGGATAAGTTGAGGGATATCGCAGTTTTCGACATAACCAATCAACCTACAGACGAGAGTAATTCTTGCAGGCGATTTGGCAACGGTGGTTGTGAACAATTGTGCTTCTCCTTCCCCGCTGATGCAGATATTAGACATTCCTTCAAGTGTGATTGTGCCGTAGGGCACATTGCCGCTGATGGTAAGCTAAAAACATTTTTTTCTTAAATCACTGTTTTTTTTTATAAATTTATTTTTTTGCTGTATTTTAAAATACACCTTTGCATATGTTTACATATCTCATTAGTTTTAATTTTTAAATGGGTTTGGGAATGTTGTATAAACTTTTCTATTTATATGAGAAATCTCCCCACCAAAGATGGCACATGTTTTTTTTAAGCAACCTGTATTTGTGAATTTGTTTTAGGAAGAAAATGTGAATCTGTTGATGAATACCTGGTGTTCTCTACTCGGACTGAAATAAGAGCCATCAACTTGGATCCCCATTCGACAACTTTACCATTTTCTCCCATAGGCAACTTGACGAATGTGGTGGGCATCGACTTCGACTACAAGCATCAAACTTTGTTGTTCACCCAAATAAGACCGTGGGCCAGGATTGCCAGTATGCCTGCAACGATGCCAGATGGCAAGAACATCGTCAACATTAAGAACAAAGGTACATGGATTATTTTTTTTTCAGAACTTTTCAAATATTATGAGATCTGATATGAAAATATTTTAGAACTTTTATACTTTAACTTTTAACACATTTATATTACAGGTATTAATCCAGAAGGAATTGCCTACGACTGGACCCAACAAAAAATCTATTGGACCGACTCATCGAATAGAAGTATCTATGCCATGAACTTGGATGGTTCCGACTTGGTCATGATAACAAGAGTAGAACGACCCAGAGCCATAGTCATTGACCCTTGCAATGGTTTGTATTTTTCAACCTTTTTTTCTTGATTCTCTGTTTATAATAAACCCAAGAATTAACAGTTCATTTCACTAGTCTGAAAAAGTAGCAAAATAACCGTTCGGCATTTAACGTTTTACGTAAAATTGGCAAGGTATTTTTACACAAATGAAGAAGGAAATTAAAGATAAAGGATTATACCATATCCGCATTGTAGCACATTTTTAGACAACTTCTTTATTTTTAAGATTTTGATGGTCAAACATCAACAAAATATTCCTTATGTTTGGACTAAGTTTTCTCGAAAATAAAGACATAATTTAAAATTCCGTTACGATACGGAAATAGATTGAAGTTTTGTGATTACATTGATATATAATTTGTATGGTTTTGTAATAAATTGCTCGCTATTTTATGGCAAATTCTGAAGCGCTGCAAACTTTAGTCAAGCCTTAATTAAAGCACGTGTGTTTGGAATTTTGGCTGTGGCTTAACACGACAGGATCGGGCTAAGCCTTAGGCAGATTTCTGAAATATAATATATATTTTCAAATATATATTTTTAATACATATTATTTATTAATATACACTAAAGCTGTAAGAATTTTGTTCATTTCATATATGAGCGGGCCGAAAAACGCTCTTTACCATCTTTTGATGGGAGATGCACTAATATCTCACCGACACTTTACGACATCGTCTGTTGATATTGAAAAAGTTTTGCTTGCCGTATCGGTGAGAACCAGCCCCTGGACAGCCCACCTGATGAAGGGTAGGCCCAGAAACCGGTTATGGGAGTAGAGCTTGGTTCCCCCCTTTCTTCTTACGACGCCGTCTCCTTTCGAAGGTTGGCGATCCAAATAGCTAACGTCATTCTAGATACAGCCATACGAAATATGTCGTTTGATGAGCAACCAAACCATCTACGAATGTCCTTTAGCCAGGAATTCTGGCGTCTGCCGATAGATCTTTTGCCCTGGACTTTGCCTTCAATTATTAATCTGAGAAGTTCATACTTTTTACCCCTCATTATGTGGCCTATGTAGCGTGTTTTTCTTTCTTTGATGGTAAGCATGAGTTCTTTCTGTTTTCTCGTTCGATAAGAACCTCCACATTTGAAACTCTTTGGACCCATGATATTCTTAATATACGGCGGTAAATATACATTTCGAAGGCATCTAGTTTTTTTTCTAACGATATGTCAAGAGTCCAACTCTCACACCCGTACAGGAGAACTGAAAAAATGTAGCATCTGACCATGCGTACCCGTAGCTCCAAACTCAAATCTGACCTTGTGAAAAATTGTCTCATATTTATAAATGTTTTTCTAGCCTGTTCTATGCGGCTTCTAATTTCTTTCTTCGGGTCGCATTGATCATTTACAATACACCCCAAATACTTGTATGAAGACACTTGCTCTACTGGGTCACCGTTGATATCCAGGTGAATCTGCACAGGTGTTTTGGTGAATGCAAGAACCTTCGTTTTTGTGGTATTTATGAGGAGACCGCAGTTTTCACTATGCCGAACTAATTCATTCATTAGCCTCTGCAAATCTTGTTCATTCTCGGCCAGCACAACTGTATCGTCGGCATACCTGATATTATTGATCACTTTCCCGTTAATCTTAATTCCACATTCGATTCCTTCTAGAGCTTCTTTGAAGATAGCCTCTGAATATATATTAAATAAGAGCGGTGACAGCACACAGCCCTGTCTTACACCTCGTTTAATCGTGATTTCTTCTGACGATGTTCCTTCAATTTTAACCACTGCGTTTTGCTGCCAGTAGAGATTTGTAATCAATCGAATTTCTTCTCTATCTATTCCGGTTGTTTTGAGGACTTCTATAAGTTTTTGATGGTTAACGCAGTCAAAGGCTTTTCTATAATCTATAAAACAAGCGATTACATTGACATTCATGTCTCTGCAACGCTGAGTGATAACGTTTAATCCGAATAACGCCTCACGAGTACCTAGGCCACTGCGAAATCCAAATTGAGTTTCGTCTAGTTGGTATTCGCATCTTTTATAAATTCTGGTGTGAATATTCTGAGAAATATTTTGAGGACATGGGACATCAGACTTATCATGCGGTATTCATCGCAGTTCGAAGCGTGGGTTTTCTTTGGAAGGGTAATAAATGTCGAGCGTAGCCAATCCGTTGGGATAGTCCCTGTACGGTAGATTTTATTGAATATGAATACCAGCAGTTGCAACCCCCTTCTGTCCTGTTCAGCCATCAGTTTTATAACTTCGGCATGAATATTGTCTGGGCCAGTTGCTTTTCCGCCTTTTTGGGATCGTATTGCGTGAATTACTTCGTCTTTGGTAATTTCAGGTCCTTTTTCGTTCATGTTTTCATCCGCTTTCGGTGGAGTGTTCGGTCTGCTATCATTAAATAGTTCTTCTACGTATTCCTTCCATCGTTGTAGTTTATTCTCTATTCCTAAGATGATGTCATTATTTTGGTCCCGTAAGATAGCTGTGGAACGTTTCTTGTTACAGTTTACCATTTCTTTCACCTTCTTGTGTAAATTGAATGTGTCGTATTTTTCTTGAAGATTTTCGATTTCACTACACTTCTTGGTCATCCACTGTTCCTTTGCATCTCTGCATTTTCTTCTAATCTTTTTGTTTAGTTCAGCATATAATGCTGGATTTGCCTTATGGGTTCTCCTTTCATTCATGAGCTCTAGGATTTCAGGAGTCATCCATTCTTTTTTCACATTAGTTTCAAGGTGGCCAATGTCATTTTCCTGAATAAGAGTTATGGAGGTTTTTATCCTATTCCAGGTTTCCATTATATCCAGTTGTTTTTCATTTTGGATTTTTGTCATTTCACATTCGATCCTGGAACTCACTTGAGTGTGTACATCCGGTATCCGCAGTTTTCTAGTGTTGATTCTAGGAGTTGGTTGCGTCTTAGCGATCTTTTTGAATCTTCTCATTCCGGAAATCCATAACGACGGGATTGTGGTCGCTATTAACGTCTGCGCCAGGATGTTTTTACTGATTGCACGTATTTCTTCAGTTCTTGTCCAACAAGTATAAAATCGATCTAATTCCTTATGATGCGGCCTTTTTTATCAGCAGGAGATTTCCAGGTGTATAGTCTTCTAGGATGTTGTTTGAAGAATGTGTTAGCAAGCCCCCCTTACGACATTCCCCCCTTTACGACAAGCAAAACAATTTTCTTTTTACTTTTTATTCTTTTCTCTACTTTCGATTTTTCGAAATTAGAGAAAATACACAGCTAAAGGCAAGAAAATATTATTTATTTATATATTTTCTTCGGCCACAGACCCGCTTTACCCGCTCCCTGATGGCGACCCGAAAGTACAGCGTAATACACTCTTAACTTATTTCTTCTTTACAGGAACCTTATTCTACACTGACTGGGGCAAGTTCGGCACTTCTGGCAAGATCCTCCGAACTACCATGGCTGGATCACTAAAACGAGTGATAATAGACAAGAACCTGGCTCAACCGAGTGGTTTAGCGATCGATTTTGATGAAAACAAGCTGTATTGGACGGATGCAGTCAGGGAAAAAATCGAAAGAAGCGACATGGATGGAAAAAACAGAGAAGTTCTGGTTGCAGCAACTATATATCCGTTCTCGATCACTATATTTGGTGATTACATCTACTGGACCGATTTGCAGCTTAGGGGAGTGTACAGAGCTGAAAAACACACCGGAGCTAATATGATAGAAATGGTAAAAATGTTTTGTTTAAAAATTTTTGTTTAAAATCGAGTGATTAAGACGCGTTACATCTGGACCGCACTTTAAACTTGTTTTAATCTTGTTTTAGTCATTTGCTTAAAACTATAAAACTCTGTTTCGAACATGTTTGGCGTGAGGGTGTTTTTTTTTCAATATAAAAATGTTTATTTTGATTTATTTTTATAGGTAAAACGCCTGGAAGACAGTCCTAGGGACATTCAAGTTTATTCTCCTAAACGTCAAAACTGTGCTTACAATCCCTGTCACATAAATAATGGAGGGTGTGCCCAAAGTTGTCATCCTGCACCAAATGGGGCAGCAGAATGTCGGTAGGTTACAGAAAAAAAAAAATAAAAAAGTATTTTCCTCTCAAGTTAGCATGTAGAGTACTTATGGAAGAAACTCACTCATATTCAAATCTAGAATTCCACTTTATCTAAAGATGAAAACATTCGACCAATGTGTTCTACCAATCATGACCTATGCATGCCAAACCTGGATACTTGAAACGGACATTATAAGGAAACTGCAGGTCAATGGAACGAAATATGCTGGGAATAACCAAGAGAGACCGTAAAAGAATAGAGTGGATATGATAAAAAGACCCAGGAAATAGATATCGATGTCATCCACAGAGTCAAATCCCTCAAGTAGCAATGGGCAGGATATGATATTAGGAAATTAGCAGGGATAACTTGGGCCCGCATAGCCAACAATAATAGACGACAATTATTGGATCCAACTACAAAGAGAGTATCTAAATGTGTGAGGGAGGCTACACCATAATTGGAAATGGTTGAACAAGCTGGAAATGATGATGATTTTCTTCTTAATTTTTTTTCTAAAAGTATTATTATTGTTTGCTAGTGTTATTATTGTTTCTCAGTGTGTGAAATATAAATTTATCCACGACTCGTCTATAATTTGACTATTATAAATGAGTTTATGAAATAATAATAATATTCATTATTCACTAGTGAATAATGGTTTCATTATTCACCGCTTCCTGGGATATCTCGATCCAAACTCCAAACAAGAGCTATTTGAAGTTTTCAATGTCACTTTTTGCATTCATCTATGGGGTGTTTCAAAAGTTGTTTTTCTTGTCACGAGATTTTTAAAATATTTTTTGCTCCTTAAACATTCTCTTATAATATATCTCGCCATGTAAACAAATTATTAAACACCATTATGAAGAAACAATGTTAAAATTCCCTCATTTTCTACTCTAAAATTCGATTTAAAAGTTTTCAATGTTATTTTTTGCATTCATCTATGGGAGGTTTCAAAAGTTGTTTTTAAAAATAAAAACTTATATTAATATTATTTAAATTTTTTTGATAGTCCTGGATAAAGTATAGTATTCTACTCGCATATAATGGCTGTTATTCACTATTCACTTGGATGATTTATGACACTTGCCTGCGCCTCATGTCATAAACTTAATCCGCGTGAATAACAGCCACCATTATATGCTCGTTGAATAATATACTATTATGATTGTATTGTATTGACTAAGAGTGGGTCCCATGGGGGGAGCCTCCACTGAGGCCGCGAGGGCCTATTGTGGCTCAGTTTCTACGCGCTCTAATTTACAAGAGCGTCAAAGTTCACCCTCAAGACCCAGCCTCCTAATATAGGCCGTTATGTCTGAGGGCGATATGTCTCCTAGGTCTGATAGGTCTAGCATGGGTTTGCCAAACATCTCAAACCTGGTCGTGCTCCCAGCGGGGCAGGTACACATAACGTGCTTCATTGTTTCGTCATCTTCCATACAGAGTCGGCATTCGGCGTCTTCCACCAGTCCCGTCGTCTGTAGGTGAGATCTCAGCCGGCAGTGGCCCGTGTACACTGCAGTGAGCACACGCGTTCCATTCCTACCGGCCTTTAGGAGTTCTCCTGTTCTATGTTTGGATGGCCCTGCTAGGATTTTCTTGGCATGTTCCATTCCGGGACTGTCATTCCAGTCCCGGAATGTCGCACTCCTAACCCATTCACAGAGCCTTCTCTTGCGAGATTTTTAGGAATGCTAAGTGTCGGTTCTGGCCCACGAATGGCGAGCCTGCACCAATTTTGGCGAGGGAATCAGCACGTTCATTTCCCTCTAGGCCGACATGTCCCGGTATCCATATTAGCGACACTTTATTCCTATCTCCCAGTATATTGAGTAGTTTCTTACAATGAAGAATCGTCATAGACGTGCTTTTCGTTGCCTCAAGTGCTTTCAGCGCGGCTTGACTATCGGAAAATATGCATATTGTTTTCCCGGTGTATTGCTGTTCTACCAGCAGTTGCACACAGGTTTCAATAGCATATAGCTCAGCTTGGAAAATCGTGGTGTGTTTTCCAAGACTGTGGTAGATCTCAGTCTTTGGACTGCTGCAGTAAATTTCTGCGCCAGATCCTTTTTCGTTTTTGGATCCGTCCGTGTACCAACACATTTCCGCATGTAATAAACCGTTTCCCGGCTTATCCCACTCGTTCCTATTCGGAAACAGGACGTTGTAGGTGCGCGTCAAGAGTTGGACTGGTGGTGTGAGATCCGAGACCATTCCCAGAATCTCATCCGACTGTAGTTCTTCTACTAGCCGGTTTTGTATGAACATAATTGTTCCTTGGCTTCCTCGTGCTATATTTAGAAACCTATATGTAGCCCATCTCGCCTCTCTTTCCAAAAGAATTTGAAGAGGAGGTAGGTCGAGTAGGGTTTCCATAGCTTTTGACGGCGTGGATTGGAAGGCACCAGTCACCGCTAAGCATGCTTGTCCAGTGCCTTCTATTAAAAGATCAGCCTACGGGCGAGATTTATGACGTCACGCTAGTTAGATATAACGGATTAATAAATATGTTGTAGAATACATGGAAAACATAATTATTCCTCAGATTTTTGGTTTGTATTTTAAAAATGATATAGTTTAAATGAAATATACATAATATACAGTTAATAACTACAACATATATACCTATTTATAGTAATAAATACTTTGGTAAATAAACTATGAACCATACAAATGCAGCAAATGTTTTTACAATGTACAAATAATGTATAGGTACATAAGATAATGGGTAAAATGTAAATATATTTTTTAAATTTTGGGGGTTTGAAAATCGATCTAATTTAACAAAAACATTTAATATCTACTAATAGTGATGTATTATTATTTGCATTCACAAAATTTATATTATGTATATTTTGCAAGTATCAATGTTCGAAAATTATATTTACAAATAATACAATATTATCTAAAAAGGCGTCAGCGATGGCTATGAAATGAAGATCGCTGGCATTTTTATGATATAAAGAATTATTTAAATTTTTGATTTTCTTGGGATTTTTTAGGTTCGGGAAAACAGCTGATTAAGTTTTTCATTTGGGTTTTCATTATTTTTATTTGGTTTAAAAAACGCGTTTCGGCTAACTATAGCCTTCACAGTGTTGTGTCATATGGGGCAAAATAGTGTCGAATCCAATCCAAAAATTACATATACAATATAATTCACACCTCATAATGTTTACTGCAATTAATAAAAGCTAATATAAACTTATCAAAAGATGACCACATATTTTTTAAAATTATTATTCTTAACACTAAAATTATCTACATTGACTATGGAGTAATGCAGTAAACATTATGTGCGTGGTGTGAATATTTTATATGCAATTTTTTTGGATTATATTCGACACTATTTTTTCATATGATTCTAACACTGATGGAGGCTATAATGTTAGCCGAACCGTTTTTTTTTAAACCAAATAAAAATAATGAAAAAATCAATCAAGGCAGCTTTTCCCGAACCTTAAATTCCAAGAAAATCAAAAAATTTAGAATATTTAGAATCAAGGTTCAAGAATATCAAATTTTCCAAGATTGTAAAAATTCTAGTTAATTATTTTATGTGTACAGTTATTTTTAGGGAACGTCATCGATGTTCATTTCAAACCAACTAGACGCCGATTTTTTCGATGATACGGTATAATTCTTACGTAAAATGTAAATAACATTAGACCAATTAAAACAAAGAAATATGAATTTCTTAGTATTTTTAGTAACACCTTTATTCTTAAAAACTTAATTTTGTATTATGCAAATATACCTCAATTTTATTGTTATTTTATTCATATTGTATTCAGCCATCACTTAAATATTTGATATTAATTTGGTATTATAAATAATCAATACTATTCATTAAAAATTACTGAACAAATATATGTTATGCTTAACATACATTATATATTATCAAACAAAAAACACATTCTTCTTTTAAACTGTATCAGTCTTGTCTTTACAAAAATCTTTTTAAATTTTGAACTCAAAATAATAATCTTTTCGTGATCTCTAATACATATTCTTTATTTTTCCCTAGATCATAATACCTACTTACGTGTTTGAATCTATCGAAGCTGAACCAGCAACACTTGGAGTGGAGATTCCACAATATGAATAAAATAAACATAATTGTCCAGTTTTCATTAATACCATCAGGGGAGAATATTATTTTTTAAATTTATTAAAGATATTTTCAATAAAATTCTCTTGATTTATAACTCGAAAATACCCACTTTTCTTGCTCTTCCGGACACTTTAGGCTGCCTAGTATAATAACTATCCTTAGTAACTATCCTTTCCACCAGGAACACAACAAAAAGATGAGGCATAGCACCAAAAACACACTCCACTTAAAAGCTTTTATTGATGAATTGTTAGAGTCTTAAAAACACACACAAAAATCACGATGAGTAGAAAATGTATGGGCACTTTTAGGTTAAATCACTTACACAACGTGTAATTTTTAACATTTCGCATTTTTTATGCCAAACCGAGAGTGACCATATATCAGACGTTGTAGGTGCGCGTCAAGAGTTGGACTGGTGGTGTAAGATCCGAGATCATTTCCATAATCTCATCCGACTGTAGTTCTTCTACTAGCCGGTTTTGTATGAACATAATTGTTCCTTGGCTTCCTCGTGCTATATTTAGAAACCTATATGTAGCCCATCTCGCCTCTCTTTCCAAAAGAATTTGCAGAGGAGGTAGATCGAGTAGGGTTTCCATAGCTTTTGACGGCGTGGAATGCAAGGCACCAGTCACCGCTAAGCATGCTTGTCGTTGTAGTTTCGACAATTTATTCTTTGCCGTTATTTGGTTGGCTTTCTGCCACCAGGCAACTGCACCATACGTGATAATAGGTCTGATGGCCGTCACGTATAGCCAGTACATATTTTTGGAGTTTAATCCCCAGTTTCTACCACAAATTCGGCGGCATGCCCATAGAGCATAGCAAGCCTTTTTTGATGTTTTTTCCAGATGAGAGGTCCAGCTAAGTTTTTTGTCCAGGTTTAATCCTAGATACTTAACTTCCTCCGCAAACGGAATTGTCTCACCAAGAAGAATGGGCGGTTTCAGTTTGTCTGTTTTCCTTCTTCTGGTGAATGGTATGATCACGGTTTTCTGTGGGTTTACACTTAATTGTTCCAGTGTGTACCAGCCGTGAATTGCATCTAGGACTTCCTGTATTTTTGAGGAGATATACTCTACTATTATGATACTCGTGTTAATAATGATAATGTTCTTTTAAAATATAATTTTGACTTGGCATTTTTGATGAAATATTATTTATTTCTTATATTTTCAGGTGTGATGATAACACCAAGTTAGTGAACGAAGGTAGAATGTGCGTTTCGAAGAATTTGAGCTGTGATTCGAGCAAATTTTACTGTGCTAATGGAAGATGCATTTCAAGAATGTGGGCTTGTGATGGGGATGACGATTGCGGTGATAATTCTGATGAAGACACCAACTATTGCTGTAAGAGAGTCACTTTATCAATTTAACATATCGTCCCATTGCTGCCAAAAGTCACTAACTTACTTTTTATTACTTCCGAGAAAAACGCGTCTAAAGAAGAATTGCATTACATAAAGATGTTATAGTTATAGTAACGATTAACTTTGAATTTGACAGTTCCCGCGGGCTTTCCTAGTGCTAATTTTATTAAGTTAGCAACTTGCGGCCATGCTGATGCAATGCCGTCTCTCCAATAGAACAGCCACAGAATTTTATGACGTCACTCTAGTTGGATACTACGGATTAATAAATATGTTGTAGAATACATGGAAAACATAATTATTCCTCGTATATGTAATTTTATGGATTATATGACTAATAAAATAAATAATCATATGACACAACAACTTCAAAATATAAACGTTAGCTATAACTGTTTTTTTAAAAAAAAATTATGAAAATTTAATCAGCGTTTTTCCCGAACCTAAATCCCAAGAAAATCAAAAAATTTTAGAATAATTTTACATATAAAATGACAGCGATCTTTATTTCATAGCCATCGCTGACGCCTTTTTTTATGATATTGTACTATTTGCAAATATAAATTTTTCAAACATTGATAGCTTTCAAAATATACATACTACTTTTGTAATGCAAATAATAATAATCACTATTAGTAGATATTGAATGTTTTTTTTGTTGAATTAGATCGATTTTCCAAATCCCAAAATTTAAAATATATTTTACATTTTACCCATTATCTTATGTACCTATTCATTATTTGTATATTGTAAAACATTTGCTGCATTTGTATGGTTTAGTAGTTTATTCTACTTAAAGTATTTGATGCACTATAAATAGGTATGGTATATATTGTATTTATTAACTGTATATTATGTATATTTCATGTAAAATATATCATTTTTAAAATACAAACCAAAAATACGAGGAATAATTATGTTTTCCATGGATTCTACAACATATTTATTAATCCAAATCTAACTTGCGTGACGTCATAAATCTCGCTCCTAGGCTGTTCTATTAGAGACGGCATTGGGCTGATATTTAGAAATGTCAAAAGCTGATGACATTGTACTTTGTCAATTATGACATTTCGCGTCGAAGTTTAAAAGCCACAGCGACAAGAAAGAGCCAGAGTTACGTTTCACAGGTAAATAACAGTACACCTTTTGCAAGAAGAGGGAAGAACTGTCACTTGTTTTATTATTTTCCTTTTTCTATTTCATGAAAGTAAAAGAGTTACCTATCTGATTCGTTCAGGCACTCATTTTAAAGAATATCAGTAACTTTTTTGGATAGAGGGATTTGATATTTACCATGTTGGTAAAAATAACGGTCAAAATTCAAAGTTATTCATTTTATAGACTATAGTAACTATTCGGTATTAAAATAAAACATAAATAGCCAGAAATCGTAGTTAATGACTTGCTGCAATCGATTCTCCGATTCAAAACATAGTTAGTGATTGAATTTGGTTTTTCGGAAAAATGTTAGTTAGTGACTTTTCGCAGCAATAGGACGATATATTCCTTAAATTCCTTAAAGGGTAAAAACGATGATATGATATGATAAGCGCCATTTTACTAATTTTACAGAGAGTCCTGGATGACTGGTAGTTATCAGGTAGTCCCTGTATATATGTATATTTTTACTAGGAATATATCATAGGATTTAACAACTTTTTGTAGGAATCAGTTAGACCAACTATAAAGCTTGATTTTCATGCATCCGTTATCCGTTGATACGATGGTCCGACGGCGCTCTGATTAGTCATAGCATTTTTGCGCCACTTTTCATCCGTAAATTTTTTACTCCAGCCCGTCAACGGAGATATTCGTACGATAACAGACTTTTTGATACTTTTTTGACAAATTTAATCTAACTTTAATCTATACTAATATATAAAATCCTTAAGTGACTGACATACTGATTAATCACGATCCTGCTCAAACCACTCAACGTAAGAAGCTCAATTTTGGCATACAGGTTGATTCTAGGGTGTAGAGGTTCGATAAGAAGGGATTTTTCGAAATTTCGGTTCCAAGAGGGTGAAACTTTGAATAAGAAGACTAAGGAAGGAGCATATCAAAATCTTAGGTACACCGCGATGGGCTTCAAATATGGCCGACTTAAATTCCGGTTTATCAGTGTCGTTCTAATTTTATTTGATTTATACAACTTTTGTAGGAATCAGTTAGACCAACTATAAAGCTTGATTTTCATGCATCCGTTATCCGTTGATACGATGGTCCGACGGCGCTCTGATTAGTCATAGCATTTTTGCGCCACTTTTCATCCGTAAATTTTTTACTCCAGCCCGTCAACGGAGATATTCGTACGATAACAGACTTTTTGATACTTTTTTGACAAATTTAATCTAACTTTAATCTATACTAATATATAAAATTCTAATAAAAATGAGACATACTGATTAATCACGATTTGCTCAAACCACTCAACGTAAGAAGCTCAATTTTGGCATACAGGTTGATTCTAGGTTAAGAGGTTCGATAAGAAGGGATTTTTCGAAATTAATCTTCCAAGAGGGTGATAACCAAAAGCTCAAATATTACAATATATTTTATTTAAAAAACGGTCAAGTTTCCGAAAATGATCGCTTAAACACGTATATTTATTTTATAGTTTTACATATTTTAAGATTTGTTAAAAACAGGGTGTTTCGAAAAAAAATCTGGTCATTGATTATCATGATCCTGCTTAAAGCGCTTGACGTAAAAAGCTGATTTTGGAAAACAGATTGACTTTAGGGTGTAGAGGTTCGATAAGAAGGGATTTTTCGAAACCCGAATTCTATGGGGGTGAAACTATCCCTCAAATATTGAAATATTTTTTATTTAAAAACCGGTGAGTTTTTCGGAAAACTCTTAAACACGTATATTTTATTTTGTTGTTTTACATATTTTAAGATTTTTTATAAATTTATACAGTGTGTTTCATAAAATATGGCCATTGAGTAATCACGATTCTGCTTAAACTGCTTGACGTTTAAAGCTGATTTTTTGGCAAATGGATTGACTGTGGGGTGTAGAGGTTCGATAAGGAGGGGTTTCTCGAATCTCAAATTCCAAGAGGGTGAAAACGCCCCTCAAATATTACAATATTTGTTATTTAAAAAACTGTTAGTCTTTCGGGAAAACGCTTGGACAAGTATAATTTATTTGGTTTTTTTACATATTTTGAAATTTTTTAAAAAATCATACAGGGTGTTCCAAAAAGTTGGGTAATTTCTTAACCACGATTCTGCTTAAACTGCTTGACGTAAAAAGCTTATTTTTGGCAAACGGATTTTTCGAAAGTCAAATTCCAACGAGATGAAACTACCCCTCAAATATTACCAAGTTATATAATAATATCGCCATATTGTTTTTTCTCATGCTGACATAAATGTGAGAAAATTTTATCCAGTTTGTATGTTAATGGAAATTCTTGCTTTGCTTTATCATCACCATTACAAATGACTAATTCGACGCGAACGAAGTCGCTGGTACACGCTAGTAAAAATATAATAGTACAAGAGCTAACACCGTCGGGAAAACTAGAATTTTAAGAAAGCTGGTTCTTTAGTATATCTTCTGGTATGCTCTCCTGACCAAAATGCGAGCCAGTAGACTACTGCAGTTTACTATTGCGCATCACATCTGTACAGGGTATCCCATTTTCGTGTGTTTTATGGGATTTCTCGTTTATGAGTAGAGATACAATGATATGATTTTCACATTACTTTGCTACGTTTTTATGAAACTAAATATGCTACACATAGGTTGGTCCTAGCCTCCTTCCTTAGTTTCTAAAATACAAGGCGAATTTATGATGCGCAGTCACATGAACAGATATTGTATTCAGATATGATGCGCAGTAGTGAACGCAACGTCTACCGGCAACCAGACGATCCGCACTCTATTCAGGAGAGAAGAAAAGATATATTAAAGAACCGGCTTTCTTAAAATTCTCTTTCGAAAACGTTGCTAGCTCTTAGGCTATAAGTAAAACAGCGAAATCGTTGTAGAAATGAAAATATAAAATGAGAGCAATCACAAGCAAATCGTATATCCGATGAACGGAGGCATCAAAATGCAATAAATTTAAAAACTGCGTAATTTTCTAACCAATCGAAGTTTTTAAATTCAACCAATAAAATTAATATCTCATCATCGTATCGTCGGACTACAACGGATGTATGAAAATTAAGTTTAATACTGTAAAACCCTAAAATTAAGAAAGTGGCGCTGATCGTGTTATTCCCCTGGACCCTTCATCTGTATTAACATTAAAAATAATTGTTTCCAGCTTTTCATTCGTGTTCACCCAACGAATTCAGATGCGCCAACGGTCGCTGCATCTTCAAATCATGGAAATGTGACCACGAAAACGACTGTAAAGACGGTTCGGATGAACAAGAGTGTGAATATCCACCCTGTGCACCAGGAGAGTTCACTTGCGCTAACTTCAGATGCATTCCCATGGCTCAGGTGTGCAACGGAGTGAACGATTGCAAGGATAATGTAACTTCGGACGAAACTCATGAAAGGTAGATATAATAGTTTCGTTTACTTTATGTTCGAGATAAAACACTTATTGTAATTCAAAATCACTTCTAGGTGCCCCCAAAACACTACCTGCCCTCCAAAACACCTAAAATGCGAGAACACCAACATCTGCGTGGAACCGTATTGGCTCTGTGACGGTGATAACGATTGCGGTGATAATTCTGACGAGAATCCGCTTCACTGTGCTCAGAGAACTTGCCCACAAAACAGTTTTAGATGCTCCAACCATAGATGTATACCGGCAACTTGGTAAATTGTTATTTTTTATTTAGAAATTTTGGTTTTGAATTAAATATAACTCGCAGGTACTGTGATGGTGATGATGATTGCGGTGATGGAGCTGACGAACCTCCAGAGTACTGTAAAAGTGATGGAAGGACTTGCTTCGGTGATTTGTTTACCTGTGATAATGGAAACTGTATTCCTAGGATTTATATATGTGATGGAGACAACGATTGCTTGGATAATAGTGACGAGGACAGTAGACACGAGTGCAGTAAGTTATTTTTTCTAATTTTAACATTTCTTCTGTAACTTTTTTCTTAATTTTTAAACTTTTTTTTATACAGGGTGTGTCTTCAATAAGCGCAAATATTTTTTTCTGGACTGGTAGATCTCGACAAAAGAAACATATTTTCTCTTTGCCGTTTTTCAAATAAATCCAAAATAACCGAGTTATTTTATTTTGAAAATTCCCTAAAAAAAATGTTTTTTTGCTAAAATTTTGTCACTGGATCTTTTCTGGATTTTCTTTCTTGTAAATTTAATCTACTACCTATGTTGCCATATTATCAAGAAATTATGTTTTTTAACTCTCCTAAACAGAGTGCGGACCGTCTGGCTGCCGGTAGACGTTGCGTTCACTACTGCGCATCATATCTGTATTCAACATTTGTTCACTACTGCGCATCACAAATTCGCCCTGTATTTCAGGAACTACGGAACCTACATGTATAGTATATTTAGTTTCATAAAAAAGTAGCAAAATAATGTGAAAATCACATCATTGTATCTCTACTCATAAACGAGAAATTCCATAAAACATACGAAAATGGGATACCCTGTACATATGTAATGCGCAGTCGTGAACCACAGTAGTCTACCGGCAGCCAGACGGCCCGCACTTTGGCCAGGAGAGCATAGCAAAATATATATATATTAAAGAACCAGCTTTCTTAAAATTCTCGTTTCCGACGTAGCTAGCTCTTGTACTATTATGTTTTTATTAAGGTTAGATTAAATTTGTCAAAAAGGTGTCAAAACTTCCGTTATCGTATGCATAGATAAATGCAACAAGTTTAGATTGGAAAGCCCGTAAAAATTTTGGATCGCGAAATTGTTTTGGGTCGCGACCGTTATATGCGATCTGGCGCTGCTATAACGGTCGCTAAGAACAACGGCAAACAAAAACAGAAATAATTTTCTCTTGTCAAAGTCAGAATCTTCAAAAATCATAATAATCTTTCAAAATCTAAACCGCTCTCATTAAAGAAATTCCGAAAAGTGTTTATAGCGTCCATTTTCATAGTAATTATTGCTATCTTGTGAGTTTAATTCAAGTTTTATTTACTCCTATCAGTGATAATTGTGAGAAAGTGGCATTAATAACTTAAAAAGCTGTGCTGTGAACTGTGAACTGCAAAAACCATGCAAAAACCATCGTGGATCATGGTATAACGTCGGTTTCCAATGTTTCATAGGTATTTCATACATGCGTCATTATATAAAATAAAGTTTCTTGTATGCAACACACTGTATTTTATTTATAAAATTAAACGAAAATAATAATAAATTTGAATAAACAATATTTGGCGATATAATTCCGGAAAAAGCCGAACCGCTCCGAAATTTTCAAAACTTTTGGGTCGCGACCGTTGCAAGAATGCGCCAAATAGTGTTTACATTGTCTTTATGGGCACTTTCCAATCTAAACTTGTTTCATTTATCTATGATCGTATGATCTCTCTCCGTTGACGGGCTGGAGTAAAAGATTTACGCTTGAAAATCAAGCTTAAGACTGTTTCCCAACAAATTTCATATATAACTATTCTCACCTATATCCTATCCTAGGCAAATAATGACTATTATTTTACTTGTAGATGATAGAAAATGTGACGAAGAAACTGAATTCACTTGTGAAGCGAACAAGGCATGGGGAAGGGCTCAGTGCATTCCTAAAAAATGGCTGTGCGATGGTGACCCCGATTGTATCGATGGGGCCGACGAAAATACCACAATCCATCATTGTCCAGCACCCCAAGCCTGCGCAGACGATCAATTTACTTGTGGCAATGGACGCTGTATTAATAAGGTACGTACAGGGTTGCCCATTTTCCAGTGTTTTACAGGGTTTCTTGTTTATGAGTTGAGGTACGAAGATGCGGTTTTCACATTGCTGTGCTACTTTTACTTTTAGTTCCTGCAAGTTGCCTCTTAGTTTCTGAAATACAGGGCGAAATTGAAAATGTTTCGTTTTTCGACACCCTTCATATTTTGGTTTGGTTTATCTTATAACCACTCATACATCACATCAAATCACATTTACGATGTGTTTACATTATTAGATGTAGACACAGGGTGACACAATTCCCCCGATGTAAATATGCTACGTTTACACATTGTAGTTCAACACGTATGCACAAGGGTTAAACGTCCGCCTCACAATGTAGCCACAGTATAGCATTTACGTATACACAAAGTAAGGGATACACAGTGTGCCGTAGGATACACAGTGCTTGTGTATTACGTTTAAACTATGTTTACACATTGCAGTTGTGACTACCGCGTGTATACGTATGTATTTTGCTTCGTATATACATCTTGTGCTAGATAAAACTACTTCTTATGAACGAATTTAGGAAATAATACAAGTTTTGATGCCTAACTTTTCGTTCTTTTAAGAAATATTTATCCAATGATACCAATTATATCTTTTAGAACGAAAATTAGGAAGGCAAAACTTTGTAGTTTCCAAAAGTATATCGATCGTAAGTTCAAGAGAAGTAGCCTTAAAATTGTTCCATTTTTGTTTTGTATTAAATGTACCATTTTTCTTCCATAAAATGGATTAAGTGGTTAAAAAATAAAATTCTTATATTTTTATATCATGGAACGCAATAGCGCAAATAACACAATAATAATAATTATTAACACTGCAGAAACCAGAAGTAAGAAAACACTGTAAAAGAACAGAATTTGTATCAAAATGTATTAAAAATATAAGTACCTATAGTATAACAACATACTAAAATGGTAAACACTGGTATATCGCCACGATTTGGTGGACCTCGTTTAGTCATTTTTTTCTTCTCTTTTCCCTCCAAGCAGTTGATTTGTTAGCATAGTTATTCATCGAGCACTCTGTTGGACTTTGTTGTATTTTATTTCCAGATTAACAATCTCACCCCTTAAATTTTATATGAAACTGATTATTGAATATTAAACATATCTGTATATTGATCCATTAATAACTTACCGAATATCAGTGTATTCTTTGAGGTGTTTAAATCTTTCTTTCTCTGGTCCATTTAGATTTTTATTATTTCCAAATTTATATTGCAGAGCTAACCTCTTTATCATTATACGAGAATATTTGAAGCTTTCATTCATTGGAGTCAAAATTTGGTAAATATCGAGTAAGGGAAGAGTCGCTGCTATAATATTAATAATACTCTTAGGAAAGTGTAACAAGGTAATTTAAAAATTGTGCTTACCTTAAAATCTCTTTTAAACTACACACAAACAGAACATTTATATAGAGCTTCCGAATGATAAAACAATAATGGCTGCTAACACATACCACTCCTAGAAAGGAGAAAGGAGAGAGGGCACATAAGATACACTTGGTCGGTGTGTCTACGCTGAGGCTATCCGCGCGTGCGCACACCTTCATCATTCTCATGCTAGAATGTAGACACAACAGTACACCATTACAAAGTGTCTATATAGATATTTATATTATGTGTATACGTCACATTTTTACAAGGCGTGTACTATAGGCACAACTACGATACGAAGTATCACATATACATTTGACTTATACATTGTATGTCTCATATACCGACGTCAGATTTCATCATTTTAATAATTATTTGTTACGTTACAAAAAACTCTTTAGAATCTTGAGTGCATACGGTATACAACTAGTAAATACTGTATCACACAATTCTATCAATATAAACCTGCGTGTATCTCATATGTATATGTTAGAACTAGATGAACACTTAGGTTCACTTTAACATGTTTTGTTGCTCATGTGTCTCCCTTGTAGAAACGTAATTTCATTTGGACGTGCTGTATGGGCAGTGGCGTAACTAGTATTTCGCTAGGAGTTGTCATTTCAGAAATATGACTCAATTTTTTTTGTGTATCCTCCGTGTATATATTCCGTGTATTTTATTCTTTATATTATTTGCCTTGTCGCGAGGTTCCTAAAAATATAACATATTCTATACTTATTTTTATAAACAATGTAAAAAATGCAATGTTGTAAACTACGTGTTGGTTGAATACAGTTCATACCAAATAAACTTTTAGTCACGTGATTAAGCTTAACCGGCACCAGCATTGGCCCCTTTTATATATTTTCTTTTAATCAAAATATTTTAGAAAACGAAAATATATAAACAGTTATTATTTACATCAACAGAACTCACCTTCTTAACACCACTTAAGGGACTTAAAGGGCCATTACTACCGCTTTCCCGTTCAAAATATTCTAATAAAGTTGCGATGAGTTTTTTACGGCTATTAAGCTATATATCTTGTACACTTCGCACTAAAAGAGGTTCTAAAAAGAATAATGTTGGACTGCAAGGTCTGCTAGTAAACATTTTTATGCTTAAAGTATCACCATACTATTTAATTTAAACCAAAAACTCCTAATACAAAACTAAAGTGTCAAACCGAATGACAATGACAGGAAATAAATAAATAAATGCGGCAACTTGACATATTTTACAGCAGAGTTACCATCTGAATCCCCAGCACGAAATTTAAATTCCAGTTAGTCAGCACCATGTCAGCACGGCGCCGAATATGTACAGGGTGGGCCAAATTGGACGCTTTTAAAGGGAAACACCCATTTCTGTAGGAGATAGACGAAAACTAATATCGGTGTCTGCAGCTCAATTTTTGTCAAAAACATAATGGTGAAAACCGCATATCGATATCTATTACCGTTTCGGAGTTACGGGGTGTTTTTCAAAAATGTGTATTTTTAACAAATCGCTGTAACTTTTTTGCTACGGAAAATTTTGTATTTTTATGAAAACATTTCCAAAGCACCTTTTTACGTAGAATTTAATGGTTTCAGTACATTTTTTTTAAATTAATAATTTAAGAATTATTAATAGAAAATTTCAGTTTTTATATGGGGCACCCTGTATATTTTTAATTTATTGAAAATAATTTAAAATTACCTTTCCAAAAATATAGCAGACTTGATATTTTGCTCGATTCCTCTTCGAGATATAGAGTTTATAAAAATTCGCCTACTTTAAATAAGTAGGCTTTGAACGGCGCCGACTATAATGCAAAAAAATTCTAGCTGTGAGCATCAATTAAAACGAAAATAATATTTGCAATGAAGCTGGTGATTTTGCCACTGCAGGGACCTGGTGATTTTGCCACTGCGGGGACCTGGTGATTTAGCTACTGCGGGGACCTGGTTATTTTGCCACTGCAGGGTCCCGATGATTTTGACTTTTCAGGGACCTGGTGATTTTGCCACGGCTGGGACCTGGTTGTTTTGCCACTTCTAGGACCTGGTGATTTTGCCACTGCAGGGACCTAGTAACCTTGGCATTGCAGGGACCTGGTGATTTTGTCACTGCAGGGCCTGGTGATTTTGCTACTGCAGGGACCTGGTTATTTTGCCTTGGAAATGTAAAAAGGGTGTTTCCCTTTAAAAGCATTCAATTTGGCCCACCCTGTACTTGGTTGGCAACAATGAATTTAGAAATCGCGCCTTCGATTACGTAATTAAAAGTTCAATTGATATGAAATATATGTAAATTGAGACTGATACCTACTTTGAGTATTTTTTGCGCTTTATTAAGTTATTGACTAATTTTTGTTTGGACATAATTTTAATTATTTGGTTAGGGTTGGTTATGTGATCATGACAACGACTGTGGAGACGGTACCGATGAAGGCAAAGACTGTAATTCCCAATACAAAACCTGCGGCACTAACGAGTTCACTTGCCAGAACTTCAAGTGCATCAGAAATCAGTACCGATGCGATGGCGAAGATGACTGTGGAGATCACTCTGACGAAGTCAACTGCAGTACGTTACAAAAACTTTTTCTGTGAAATAAGTTGATGAATTTTATTTTTTTTTAAGAAAAAGGTAACACAACGTGTCCAAACCCTAGCCAGTTCCGCTGTAACAACGGTCAGTGTATTGATGGTCATTTGGTTTGTAACAAGGTAGCAGACTGCACTGACGAATCCGATGAGCCTTTGCACTGTAATGTTGACGAGTGCGCTAAGGTAGAACTGCATCAGTGTGGACACAAATGCGTGGACACACTCACTGGATTCTACTGCGAATGCAACCAGGGATACAAGTAAATTCACTATAACATTATTACTTTTACGTTCCTCTTACTATTTGTTACTTAATGGTTGTCATACTTTGATGGCTTTAAGATCACCAGGTATTTTTTGCTCAAAGTAGCTGTCGACAAAGCTTTTATACATCTCTTCCTATTTTATGAATTCTTTATTTTGTGCATTTTATTATTTTCTATCAAAATTGCCATTTACTATTATTAGATATTCTTTCTCTGTGGTTGAAAAATTTGTTGTTTTATTTGCAGAATTATTCACTTAATTTTTTTTTTGTTAGTTCTTCCAATTGTAGTTGATATAGTTTGTGAACATTTTGAACTTTAAATATAGTCTGTCCAACGAGAAGATCCTTGACAGTGATAGATGTGTCTGTCATTTTAATTTCAAAGTAGTTTATTTTATTTTACAAAGAAATAAGTTGGTACAACTGGAACGCGCAGGAAATTAATATATTTAAAATTTGACTGACAAGTGACTACTTCAAAACATTGTGAAAAAAACTGTATAAAACTGAAAAAATGTAATCGAGTTATTTTATTTAATCAAAAACGGTATGTGTTAATATAAAACAAACAAGAACAAGACACCACATACTAAGAAAATATAAAAAAGAACTAATTCTTATTTTCAAGCTTTATGAAACTTCCCGCATTTATTATTATATTTATCAATATAACTTATGTACAAATACAAATTTGTAATAACCGCAGGAATAAATAAAACAACATAAATAAAACAAACTATTTTATTAATAATAACACTTACCAAATTTTATACCTTAAATGTTGATTAATTAATTATAATCTTAATTTTTTTAAACCATAACTTTTGACATTATTTTTCTGCAATCCATTATTTACCTTTCGTGTGATGTCGATATTTTACAGCTACTCCAGTTTTTAGTATGTGTTTATTATGGTTTTTCTACCATATTCAAGATGCACTTATCTACGACAAGATGGTATACGAACTTTATTGATGGTAACTTTATTGGTGTATAAGACTTTCTGCCTGGGCAGCGAGTATTAACCATAAACTGTGCTCTGGGTCTACAGTCAATTTTCACTCAATTTTTCCTCCACTTGACTTCAAAAGAGACAAAACACACGTAATAACACGAATCAAAATGTATCATCTTCCAAAACGCAGGGTATTTGACAAAAGTTGACACAAATTTATAGATAGATAGATAGATAGATATTTCTTTATTTATTTCCAATGTTTACAATAAAAACACATAAAATAGCCCAAACAGGCATGGAAACATTGTCAAATAAGAACATTTTACACCAAAATAATATAATTACAGTTAAGATAATACTACAATTAAACTAAGATCTTAACTAAGTAAAATAAGCAAATACATAGAAGAAATAAAAAACGATAGAATTAATATATACAAACAACAAATATTACACATTAGATATCAGACTTATAAACACAGCTTTATCGGATCTGTAAAATTCTTCTAATGAATAAAAGGCTTTCTTTGCTAGAAAGATTTTTAATGTGGCTTTTAACTTGTTTCTTGCCAAACCTCGAACACATTCGGGAAGGAAATTGTACATTTTTATTAATGAGAAATCAACATTTTTTTGTAGGTAGCTAAAATTATATTTATCTCCGACTAATATAACGTATAACCTATAATTTCGCAAGACTTTGACGAGCGTCAAAAATCTAAAGGCGAGTTCATACGCACCGGCGTCCGTTTGTCGTTCATCGTTCCGTCAAACCAATAAAATTGAAATAAGATCTGTCATTTTTGAAATAAACCAATAAAATTGGTTAAAAACAACAAGAGACGACGTATGACGGATTTATATTTAAACCCATCCATAGTTAACTTAAAAAATGTTAGAAACTTTTTTTAGTAAAATAAATAGATTGGTATGGGACGTCATCTGCTTTTCTTCTGTCATCGTCTGTCGAAATCTTACCTGAGGAAAAAAACAAAGTATATCTCGTCTTTGTTCTAAAGACACATCAATTAATTGTGTACCATCAAGAGTATCATTTGCATGATCTATATTTTCTATATCATCTCTTAGATATTTAATTCTTTCTTTTTGATTTTATTATTTACTAACTATCACTTCTTTAATTTGAGTTTTATGGTTTTAATAATTTCATCATTATCAGCAATTAGGTTATTATTTTCTTTTTTTTACATAATCTTATATCGGCTAAATGGACTCTTAAGAGCTCAAATTTTAGCAGATTTTTATCCATCATCCTGAACGATATTTTCACGGTATCTAGAGTGAAAAAAAATTTTTGGTGCACTCTATGAACTTAAGTCTTAAAATAAGCCCCCCTATTTATATTATTTGATTACCTTCCTCGTATACTTTGCGTACAAACTCTTCAAACATTCATTTAATATAAATTCTAAAGGTGCGTACTCACTAGAGCATTTTGGTCCGAACGAACCAAGCGAGCCGAGCGCGCACGAACGAACTCAGTAAAGAAAAGATCGCGATGTTCAGAGTGCTTGTTGCGTTCCCTGTGTTTCCACGTTCAGTTGTATTTAATTTTTATTTCCATGTAAATAAAAAACAAGCTGTAAAGCCTGTTTTTTTATTAAGAAATCATGTGACATTTGTCAAATCTTTCCATTAAAAAAACAAGCTTTATTGTTATATTCGTTATAATTTGTGTAAATGTACCTTTTCCCGTTCCAATAGATTTTTTTCCTTTCGCCTTCTTCCTTCTGAAAGTTGCCAGAAGACTTTCAATTTTTTTTCTTTGCTTCTCCAGAAGCACATCCCATGATCTCATCTATCTGCCTCCACGCATCAAACTACTTAACTTTATTATAGTATAATCCATCCTTTGGATTCCAAAGTACTGGATATTGTTCATAAATGTCTATTAACTGAAGGCACTTTTCTCTATTCCACTCCATTTCGTTTGAGCAAAGAAAAATCAAAACAATGAAAATTTTTCGCCGCGAATGCTCCGAATAGGACGAACACCATGAACGCAACGAACCTCCATACCCACTGAACAACGCATCCCCTTTGAGCAAAATGCATGTACTGACAAGCCGGCGAAAATGTTTGGCGCGCTCGGTTCGATGAAATTTTGCTCGCGAACACGTATTCACTTGCCGAATTCGGCTCTGCGCGCTCGGCTCGTTTGGTTCGTTCGGAGCATAATGCTCTAGTGAGTACGCACCTTAAGATCTTTTTTGGTTGATTCTGGAAATCTTTAATTTGTACAATTTCTGTCTTATTAGGTTACTCCAAGATGGTAAAGCCTGTGCTGACATCGACGAATGCATAGAAACCCCAGGAGTTTGCTCGCAATATTGCAGCAACACCCCAGGCAGTTTCTACTGCAAGTGCAACGATCAATTCTACGAGCGCGAAGCAGACGAGCACACCTGCAAGAGAAAGGACAAAACCCAACCCTGGCTCATCTTCACCAACAAGTACTACATCAGAAACATGTCCATCGACGCTTCAGTTTACAACCTAGTCCACCAAGACCTCATGAACGTCGTGGCCTTGGATTTCTTCCTGGATGGACCGAACTCGAAAATGTATTTCTGCGACGTGACAGCTAAAACGATATTCAGAACTCCCTTAAACGGAAACGAGAGAGAACCAGTGATACGTCACGATTCGCATGGTCTGGAAGGAATCTCTATAGACTGGATTGCAAAGAAGCTTTACTGGCTGGACAGGCATTCCAAGAACTTAGAGGTGGCAGAGCTGGATGGTACTAATAGAAAAACCTTGAAGACTAGTATAGCAGATCCCAGAGCTTTGGTAGTGCATCCGGGAACAGGATATCTGTATTTCACTTCCTGGCATCTGCAGGCTTACATCGGAAAGCTTGGAATGGACGGATCGAACTTTACGAGGATTTTAACCTGGGATGATGACATTGCTTGGCCCAATGCTTTAACAATTGACTTCTTTACTGACAGACTATACTTTGCTGACGCTCATTTAGATTATATCGCTTTCACTGATTTGGAAGGTCGTCACAGACATATTGTTATATCAGGAAATGCAGTTCCTCACGTGTTTGCCATAACTCTTTTCGACGATTTTGTTTACTGGACTGATTGGAACCTGAAGTCCATTTCCAGGGCTAATAAGTTTACTGGAAAGGATCTGAGAGTTTTGAGGAATACCACGCATAAACCATACGATATTCATATCGTGCATCCTTTAAGGCAGCTTCCATATACTAATCCTTGTGGAGATAATAATGGAGGGTGTTCGCATTTGTGTTTGATTTCCCCACCACCTGCGTCATCTTATTTGAATATCGACGGGTAAAATTTTTGAACTTGTTGATTTTGATTTGAGGATTGATTTAAGAATACTTTTTAGATATGGGGAGGAAGGTGAAACAAGTTTTGTATGCGCATGTCCCAACCAATTCTATCTGGCTCCGGATAGTAAGACTTGTGTGGCGAACTGTACGGAGGGACAGTGGCAGTGTAAAGGAAAGGACGAAAAATGTATCCCTTGGTTCTGGAAGTAAGTTAAAATTTGTACATACGTAAACAACTATAATTCGTATCAAATAAACTTTTCAGTCACGTGAATAAGCTTGACCGACACAGCGTTACCTACTTTTACATATTTTCTTTTAATCGAAATATTTTAATAAACAAAAATAAATTTATTATAAATATATAAACAGTTATTATTTACTCAACAAAACTCTCATTTTTAACAGCATTTAAGGGACGTAAAGGGTCATTACTAGCGCTTTCCCGTTCAAAATATTCTAATAAGGTTGTGAAAGGTTTTTGCAACGGCTATTAAGTTATCTTTTACGCCTTCGCACTAGAAAAGGCTTTTAAAAAGAACATTGTTCGACTGCAAGGTCTGCTAATAATTTTTTTTAAGCTTAAAGTATCAAAACACAATTCATTTGAACCAAAAACTCGTAAAATAAAACTAAAGTGTCAAGATGAATGACAATGTCAGGAAATGAATAAATAAATATGGCAACTAGAATTGTTTAGTGCTTGATAAATAAATTTTCTTTTGACGCAGTGTGCTTTTGAAGCACACTGTGCTTTTGAAGCACACTATCCTACAAAATATATTTGATTTTCAAAAGATTCTCGTATGCTTACGGTGTACTTGTAACATTTCATAGAGAATGTAACCACAGATTATACAGATTATAAACTTTGTTTTTTCTTTACTGTTTTTCGTGGTTCCAATTTTCGGAATCGGGCACTAGTTAGGTTACTAGTTTGCGCACGTAGCACGCCCACTTATGGCCTGTAAAATTGTGCACAGCGCCTGACCGGCACAGTTATTAGAGAGATATCGGAAAACCGAATAGCGTCATGCAGTATTTACGCGTACCTTATCATGGTTACGATATGCGCGAGTCAATTTTTAACGCAACACCCGCTAATAACGTTACCGCCCGACGTAATTTGCGGATCAATTACACCAAGCGCTATTTCTAAATAAGGTTTAAAAATTGCTTAAATGGGCATGTGCGGGTATTTGACAACCGGGGCCGGCCGGCGAGATCTTTTATTTTAGGTTATGTTTGAATTGTTTTGAATTATTACTTTAGTTTTATTAGGTAATTTGATATTTAAGTAGCTGGGATTAGTTTTAATTAAATAAATATGGCCCACAATATGGATTCCACCTCTTCCAATATTAAAGAACCTATAAAGAGGCTTAGGTTTACAGCAGATGACGACTTAGCCCTTCTAAGAGAATTTGTTGCTTGTTGCCCTAAAGCCACTGGCAGACGTTGAACAATAAATCACTGGAAATAAGCACTTTAGCCCTTTAGTTTTACAATACCTAGTAAACAAAACAATTTCAAAGTTTTAAATTCAAAGTTAGGTTAAGTTTAAATAGCGGACGCGAGGCAAACAGAATTCTTTCCGATCCGATAACTCTAAATGAAGAGAGTTAATACCACCTCACGTAAAGGAAATAACACCTGACACCTTATTAACGTCCATGCACGCTATTCGGTTTAGCGATATCTCTCTATTACGCTGTTTATTGTTATTTTACGCGAGTTTATTTTTGCGCACAGGAAATTTTACTCGTTTGCACATCGTCATAAAATACAATTTTCGTACCACGAATTAGGGACAAGATTTTTATCTGTATACTTATAGGATACCTAATCTGTGACGTAACTGAGATTATTTTTGACAGATGGTTGTAGAAAAAAATCATAATATATTTGTCATTTTGTTAAATTTTCGTTTAATTTCGTATTTTCATAACTCTCATAATAATTTGTATAAACCATTCAAAATAAACAATTTGCTTCATTTCAAGGACTTCTTTATAATTTAAATTTACATATTTCTTTGGTATGTCCAGTGAGGCGATGTAACACGTAGTACAAACGTATAATAATACATATAACAACATTCTTCTGCTAAAACTGTGAAATAGAAAACGGTATTTTGCCTCCTTTGACAGATATTTGAGGTTTTTAGTAGCTTTTCAAGAATATTAGCTATACGAGTATGTTAAAAATATATTTATATTTTTAAAAAATGTTTTAACATTTTTTTTACAGATGTGATGGGGAAAAAGATTGTAAAGATGGTTCGGATGAACCTGAGACTTGCCCACCCAGACAATGCCGCAACGGAACGTTCCAATGTAAAAATAATAATTGCACACCATCAGCTACCATTTGTGATGGTACCGATGATTGTGGGGACAATTCCGATGAGGAAAATTGCGACAAAGAGTGTCCAGAATTTGAGATGAAGTGCAAGTAAGTTAAAGTTGGCGAATTTGACTGTATTAGCTTTTAAAGAGAAACATCCTTTTCTATAGGAGATAGACGAAAACTAAATCGGTGTCTGGAGCTCAATTCTTATCAAAAACATGATGGTGAAAACCGCACATCGATATCTTTTACCGTTTGGGAGTTACGGGGTGTTTTCAAAAATGTGAATTTTTAACAAATCGCTGTAACTTTTTTGTTATGAAAAGTTTTGTATTTTTATGAAAACATTTCCAAAGCACCTTTTTACGTAGAATTTAATGACTTTTGTATTTGGGGCACCCTCTATATTATACAGTACAGGGTGGCTTTTTTCGCCTCGGTTGATTATACGAAAACGGAAAGATGTAGAAACAAAATATTTTATGGGAATATGTAGAGAGACAATGTGCATCATTTAAAATTATTTTCAAATATACAGGGTGTGTCAGAACTAAGATCCATACCAAAGTTATATTTTTTCTTATGGAACACCAGGTAGTTTATTTAATTTTTTGATTCTTGTAATAACCGTTAACACTATGTAATTTTGGTGACCACACCAGCCATCTTGATTGCCATTTTATTGAAAAATTGCTTTTTATTCAAAATCTGAGCCAGATAGGTATAGGAAACCCTAATATAGTTTGAAAGACCATTTAAATCTACTTTGATTTATTTTAGAAAATAGAGGGTGTTACATTTGAAATAACGAAGTTTTTATGTAAAATATATGTTTAAAATAGACCAGCAATTTTTGATACCCCTGTATACATTTAAGGAAGCAATAACATTTTTAGTAAAGTTTATTTATCTGGCTTCAAAGTCAGCACAAGAATTAACTCTGAAAAGTAATGTACAGGGCGTTGACAAACTTTTTTATTATAGCATGCATATTTAAATATCTTTAAATATCTCAAAAACCAAAGCATTTAAAGATATTAAACCCTTATAATATATGCCTTATTTGATGCCCAAGAATCCAAAAATTAAATATTATACAGGGTGTTCCATAAGAAAAAACATAACTTTGGTATGGATCTTAGTTCTGACACCCCTGTATACAGGGTGGCGCACCTCATTCGCATCGGTTGATTATTCGAAAACGGAAAAATGTAGGAACAAAATATTTTATGGGTATATGTAGAGAGACAATGTGCATAAATATACAGGGTGTATCAGAACTAAGTTCCACACCAAAGTTATATTTTTTCGTATGGAACACCAGGTATTATATTTAATTTTTTGATTCTTGGGCATAAAATAAGGCATTTATTATAAGGGCGACTATAATCACGTTTTCTCTAATGTTACAGGTCCAACGGAAGATGCATCTTGAACAGCTGGAAGTGCGACGGGGATGCCGACTGCAAGGACGCCTCCGACGAAGACCCTATCATGTGTCACAACCGCAAATGCGACGAAGAAACAGAATTCTCCTGCAAAAACGGAAAATGCATCCCCAAGCTCTGGATGTGCGACTTCGATAACGACTGCGGAGATGATTCCGACGAACCAGCCTACATGTGTCGTCAAAGAAATTGCACAACGGGCTGGCAACGTTGCCCGGGACGTTCCAACTACCGTTGCATACCAAAGTGGCTGTTCTGCGATGGTAAAGACGATTGCAGGGATAACAGTGACGAATTGCCCGAGAATTGTCCTTCCTGCAACCCGGAAACGGACTTCAAATGCAAGAACAACCGATGCGTTCCCAAGCAGTGGACTTGTGACTTTTCCGACGATTGTGGTGATGGTAGCGATGAGCTGGAGGATATGTGTAAAGGAGTCTATAGGGAATGTTCTGAATCGGAGTTCCAGTGTGGTAATGGAAAGTGTATCGCCTCTAGGTGGCGTTGCGATCACGAAGATGATTGTGGCGATAACACTGATGAGATTTCTTGTAACGGATACCAATGTAAAAACGGTAAGACTGTTAGTTGTACAATCATAGAAATGTAGATATAAAAGACAGACTAACTAACAATCGTTTAATGAATGACTTACAGAGATTACTACAACTTTTGATTTTTAAATGGTACCCTCTGTATTTTTTTTTCTTTATATGTTAGAAAATTATATTCTGAGTAAATGATATTCTGGCATGAAAATCAAGCTTAAAAAATGCTTAAACTGTATTTTTCAAAGTATCTCAATTTTTTCTAGATAATAGTGCCTGTCGCAAACAAAACTTAGCGTTTGTGGGGGCCCTTAGTAGTTGATTTAATTATTTCTTTTTTATGAAATTAAAAATTATTTTACAGGTACGTTCCAATGTGCTTCCGGACACTGTATCAACGCCTACTTCCGCTGTGACGGTGACAGAGACTGTAGGGACATGTCGGACGAGATGAACTGTCCGCCGAAGTATCCCGGAGGAAAGTACTGCCCGGAATCGAAATTCCAGTGCCAGAACCACCTGTGTATCAATCAGGCCGACCTGTGCGACGGTACGGACGATTGCGGCGATAACTCGGACGAAGCGCCATCTCTATGCACGAACTTCAACTGCGACAGTCTCAGAAGGTTCCAGTGTGCCAACCACAAGTGTATTCCTAGGTAAGAAAGCTTTCACATGAGACCAGTTGTGTCCATCATCGGTGTTCAGGTTTAGCAAAGCATTGTAATGTATACAGTGTGAGTTTCCTACGATGTTCTCTATGGGTATCTCGGAAACTACTGGAGATAGAGAGTCGGTTAAATGGGGAAAGAATTGCAGTTTTGTGGGGTCATAAATATGCGCCTTTCAGATTTTTGAAAAATCTTCATGGCTTATTAGATATTTTGAAAAAAACAAATTTCGGCTATTTTAAAAATTGTCCCTAATTCCATTATAAGGTATTTTAGATAAAAAGTTTTCATATAAAAGTTGTAGATAATCACATTCTTAATGAGACTGTGTTCTCCGCTTTTTTCTAAAGCCTGTCATTTTTGACATATGAGACAAACATAGGTTTTTTTTAAATGGAAACCATAGTTGGCCATGGCTTCATAAAAAGCTCCATTTTTTAAGCTTTTCAGCGATATAAGCTATAATATGTTCTCTTCGAAAAATTACTGAGTTATAGCCAATTCTTATCATTTTTAAACCATGTTAGCCATGGAAACAAGTTTAATCGTCTTTGCTCTCATAAATGTGAAGCTGTCATATCCAAACTTTGCAAATTAAAATAAATACAAATTGTAAATATGAATTTTTCAAATGAAGAAAAGCGTGTAGGATTATTGGTTCAACTTTTCTTGACCATACAATTTCGAGGATCCGTTGATCGGTGAATGTTACGTTTTTTAGAGAACGGTTTTCAAACATGTTAGAAAAGTTAAATTTAGTTATAGCCAATTCTTATCTTTCTTGACTAATTTCACTTAGATTGCATGGTATTCTTATTCTGTTATGATGTATAACTTATAAAAAGTCAGAATATATTACTAAACGGTTCTTTACAACTTACATTACACAATCTAAAACTTATCACAATTTATATCACTACATACACTTTAAGTTATTATATATTCTCACAGAAGGACCGGTCGACTTAATTCAACTTTTCTCGTACCGCCACTTCGAGTGCCTCTCTTAATTCATAAGTTCTTTTGTTAACCTTATTGTTAACTATACCGCAGAAAAAATTCTAAAATGGATAGGTCAGGTAATCGAGGAGGCCCATGCAATTAGTCCACCTCTCCCTATTCCTGTGTTTGTATAATTATGATATAAATAATTTTTAACGTTTATTTCATTATGGGGGGTGGGGGGTGGTGTGTCATAATGAAAGTCATGTTGGAACCACTCTATTGATGCGCGAGTATCTACACGCTTTCTTCATTTTAAAAATTCATATTTACAATTTTTGTTTATTTTAATTTACAAAGTTTGGATGTGACAGCTTCACATTTCTGAGAGCAATGGCGATTGAACTTGTTTCCATGGCTACCTAAGTGAAATTGTTTAAAATGATAAGAATTGGCTATAACTCAGTAATTTTTCGAAGAAAAGATATTATAGCTTATATCACTAAAAAGCTTAAAAAATGGCGCTTTTTATGAGGTCATGGCCAACTATGGTTTCCATTTATAAAAACATATGTTTGTGTCATATGTCAAAAATGACAGGCTTTAGAAAAAAACGGAGCACACAGTTTCATTAAGGATGTGATTATCTACAACTTTTATCTGAAAACTTTTTGTCTGAAATAGCTTATAATGGAATAAGGGACAATTTTTAAAATAGCCGATATTTGTTTTTTTCGAAATATCTAGTAAGCAATGAACTTTTTCAAAAATCTGAAAGGCCCATATTTATGACCCCACAAAACTGCAATTCTTTCCACATTTAACCGACTCTCTATCTCCAGTAGTTTCCGAGATACCCATAGAGAACATCGTAGGAAACTCACCCTGTATAATTAAAAATCGATTATTTTTTTTCACTTTATACTTTTTCTAAATGTAATATTTGCATTTTTTCAGGCATCAGCTATGCGATGGCGTGGACAATTGTGGTGACGGTAGTGACGAGAATGACATGTCACTTTGCACAAAGAAATTGAAACCTTGCAGCGTGTTCAACGAGTTCAAATGTGCCAATAACAAGTGCATCGACAAAAAACAAGTTTGCGATTTCGCTGACGATTGTGGTGATAGCTCAGACGAGCTAGGTTGTCATCATAACAACATTTGCACCGAATTAACTAGAGGAGGTATTATATTCAGTTAGTTTTAGGCTTTGGAGGGTAGAACCACAAATTAGGTATCCTATAAGTATACAGATAAAAATCTTATCCCTAATTCGTGGTACGAAAATTGTTTTTTATGACGATGTGCAAACGAGTCAAATTTCCTGTGCGCAAAAATAAACTCGCGTAAAATGACAATAAACAGCGTAATAGAGAGATATCGCTAAACCGAAGAGCGTGGACGTTAATGGATGTTAATAAGGCCAGGTGTTATTTCCTTTACGTGAGGTGGTATTAACTCTCTTCATTTATAGTTATCGGATCGGAAAGAATTCTGATCGCGTCGCGTCCGCCATTTAAACTTAACCTAACTTGAACATACCATTTTAACCATTTTAAAACTTTGAAATTGTTTTGTTTACTAGGTATTTTAAAACTAAAGGGCTAAAGTGCTTATCTCCAGTGCTTTATTTTTCAACATCTGCCAATGAGAAACTATCATTAAGTCTTTGATTAAGTAATATCACAGATTAGGTATTCTATAAGTATACAGATAAAAATCTTGTCCCTAATTCGTGGTACGAAAATTGTTTTTTATGACGATGTGCAAACGAGTAAAATTTCCTGTGCGCAAAAATAAACTCGCGTAAAATAACAATAAACATATAGAGAGATATCGCTAAACCGAATAGCGTGCATGGACGTTAATAAGGCCAGGTGTTATTTCCTTTACGTGAGGTGGTATTAATTCTCTTCATTTATAGTTATCGGATCGGAAAGAATTCTGATCGCGTCACGTCCGCCATTTAAACTTAACAACTTTACCAAACCATTTTAAATTTGAAATTGTTTTTGTTTACTAGGTATTTTAAAACTAAAGGGCTAAAGTGCTTACTGTTCAGTGCTTTAGTGGATTTACATCTGCAAATGACAAACTATCATTAAGTCTTTGATTAAGTCGTCATCTGCCACAAATTAGGTATTCTATAGGTTCTACAGATTGGAAGAGGTGGAATCCATATTTTGGGCCGAAAATTATTTTTAAAACGATCCCAGCTACTTAAATATCAAATTTCCTAATAAAACTAAAGCAATAATTCAAAACATATAGAGAGATATCGCTAAACCGAATAGCGTGCATGGACGTTAATAAGGCCAGGTGTTATTTCCTTTACGTGAGGTGGTATTAATTCTCTTCATTTATAGTTATCGGATCGGAAAGAATTCTGATCGCGTCACGTCCGCCATTTAAACTTAACCTAACTTTGAATTTAAAACATTGAAATTGTTTTGTTTACTAGGTATTTTAAAACTAAAGGGCTAAAGTGCTTTACTGTTCAACGTCTGCCAGTGGATTTAGGGCAACAAGCAACAAATCCTCTTAGAAGGGCTAAGTCGTCATCTGCCGTAAACCTAAGACTCTTTATAGGTTCTTTAGTATGGGAAGAGGTGGAATTCATATTTTGGGCCATATTTATTTAATTAAAACTAATCCCAGCTACTTAAATATCAAATTACCTAATAAAACTAAAGCAATAATTCAAAACAATTCAAACATAACCTAAAATAAAAAATCTCGTCGGCCGGCTCCGGTTGTCAAATACCCGCACATGCCCATTTAAGCAATTTTTAAACGTTATCAGAGGTTATTACGTCAGGCGGTAACGTTATTAGCGGGTGTTGCGTTAAAAATTGACTCGCGCATATCGTAACCATGATAAGGTACGCGTAAATACTGGATGACGCTATTCGGTTTTCCGATATCTCTCTAATAACTGTGCCGGTCAGACGCTGTGCACAATTTTAGAGGCCATAAGTGGGCGTGCTATGTGCGCAAACTAGTCACCTAACTAGTGCCCGATTCCGAAAATTGGAACCATGAAAAACAATAAAGAAAAAACAAAGATTATAATCTGTATAATCTGTGGTAGAACTAAGGAGAATTATCTTTGTTTACTCACTTTTATAACTGTTTACTATTCTTACAGAAATTTTACTTATATGAATAAAAAACTTATATATTTTTTTGGTTTAGGTTGTGACCACAGTTGCTTAAATCTAACAGGAGGTGGATACATCTGTACTTGTTTCAATGGTTACATAATAGCGAAGGATAATAGAAAACATTGCGATGATATCGACGAATGTGCGACAGGCACGCATCATTGCTCGCAAGTTTGTTCCAACTTGAATGGTACTTATTCGTGCTCTTGTAAGCCTGGATTCATGTTATCCGATCTACTATCCGGAGTTTGTAGGTACGTTAGTTGAATGCTCTTCTTCTTATACTTCCGAATGCATTTTGTAGGTACTCTTTAATTGTTTTTTATTACTTGTTAATTGTTTTCGTACTCTTAATGTTGAAATGTATTGATTTCAAATGTCCGAAACAATTTTATAGATTTTTTTTATTCAATGTTAATTAGCGTTGATCAATATTGTTGTGATGAATGTAATCAGATTAAATAAATTAAAAAACCAGAGCCGGATTTGAAATTATTTTAAATAACAATTAAATAGTTTTGTTATTGTTAAGCTACCTAAAACAAAAAAAAAGTATCAAGTGTGGCATATCATTGTACTCAGAGGACCGAGTTCTTTCAAAAACTGAAATAAAAAATGCAGGTCCGTATTTAAAAAAATTAAGTTGGCCTCTGTATCTCACAAATTATCAGCTAATTTGAAAATCTAAAAATACTATCAGATAGCCCTGATAAAGTGGCTATGAGAATGTGCAATTATTTTTTTGATTTTCTAAAAACTAACGACAGAAAAAAATGAAATTGATTTTCAAAAAAATCCGTTTTTTCCAAAAAACTAAAAAATCCTTGAAATTTTTAAAACTTTTTTGATTGCTTCTTGGTGAACATCCCAAATCGCAACTTTGCCCCAATTTAACCATCTTCGTATCTACTACGGTTTCCGAGATACCAAATCTTTCCGTTTTCCTATAATCTACCGAGACGAATTGGGCGCGCCACCCTGTATAAATAACAGTTGCAATTTTAGCTGCTATTAAAAATAACGGGTTTTCAAACGATTTTACATGTAAAATTACAGCGACCTTAATTTTTCTGTATATGTCCACCCTGTATAAGAAAATTACTAATTTGAAATGCTTTTTAGAGCTATACTGGAGAACACTGAGTTACTCTTCGCCAACGGACCTGAAATTCGAGCCCTCAACTTGGTCATGAAAGATGAAAAGGGTGTCATCCTGGAGGAGAAACGCATCGAAGCTGTGGATTACAATCCCAGCACCAGGATGGTATTCTGGGCGGATTCCTACTACAAAACGATTAAAAGAAGTTACCTACCGTCGGCCCTGGATGGGAAGGTCAAGACTGGATTCTCCCAAGACCTGGAAATGAAGGCCAATTCCAAACCAACAGCAATCGCGGTGGATTGGATCGGTGATAATATTTATTGGACTGAAACGGATAGAACTGGATCCAAACCAAAAGGTAAATTAAAAAAAAATATCTGCAGTATGTCCCCGAAAATTACCTAATTGATATTATTTAATTATTTGTGTCTTTATTTCTTTAGGTAGAGTCATGGTAGCCAAAACGGACGGTAGATACAGAAGAGCTCTGGTAAACGTTGGTCTGGAAAGTCCAACATCTCTGGTTTTGGACCCACAACTAGGCAGAATGTTCTGGAGCGACGCGGGTTCTGCCCCAAAGATAGAAATGTCTTGGATGGACGGCTCCAAACGGAGACCACTGATCACGGACGACATCAGACACCCCAGCGGCCTGGCGATTGACTACAACATGGGTCATATGCTGTACTGGGTGGATACCAAGCTGAATACCATCGAATCCATGAAACCTGATGGTAAGTATCTTAGAACAACATGATTTAAATAGTGATGAGAGAGACTGAAGAAATTTTTTGTCAAGCAACTAGCTTGTGCACGCCCAAAATATTGAACCATGCCACTAAAGAAAGGAAAAATTGGTTTGATATTATGGTTTAATTAGGATTTTTTCCCATAGGTTCAATGAGAAAAGTGATATTGAGAGGATTAATGCTGAAGCACCCTATTTCCTTGGACGTTTTCGAGAGCAACTTATACTGGGTGACCAAAGATAGCGGTGAGGTGATCAAACAAGATAAATTCGGTCGCGGAGTACCCGTGGTGGTACAAAGAGACCTCCTGCGGCCATCTAGTGTTAAAGGTAGGTACTTAATAATTTATTAATATAATGTGTACTAAATATAAATTATTAATTCCAGTGTTGCACGATCAGAAATACAACGTATTTCTACCCAATCCTTGTAAGAACAACCAATGCTCTCATCTGTGCCTTATTGTTCCTAATGGACATAGATGTTCATGCCCGGATTCTTCGATAATGCCAACGCACAAAACCAAGGCTGAGATAATTTGCGATGCACCAATAGGTAAGAAATATTAATTTAATATTTTACTTACCCTTATTGTCTTACCCTTCCGATATTTTAGCTTTATGAATTTTCTAATTTTTTTTTCTATTTAAAAAAAATTATTTTTTAAGAACAAGAAAGGGCGTTACCCAGAGTATGCGAATGTCAAAATGGAGGACTATGTAGGCAAGATGAAACCGATGGTCTACTGTGCGAGTGTTTGCCTAATTACGAGGGTAGATTCTGTGACATCCTTGTTGCTCATGGAAGCAGTGCCGGAGGAAGCGCTACAACTGCCGTAGTTGTACCCATCGTTGTCATTTTACTGATTCTTGGTGCCGCCACCGGAGTGTGGTTCTTTATCAGGAAACGACCATTGTAAGTTGATTTTTTACATTTTTCTACAGTCTCTTAAGGGGGGTCCACATTTAGTAACATGTTATATAACATTGCTATTTAACAAGCTACATATAACATGCTAAAAACCGGAAGCCATCCACATTATAGTTTTCGTAATCTTGAATCGTTTTGGTGAGAAAGAGGTTCTGCTAGCAGCAGCGGCGTGCGTAATTATTTTTGAAGAAAGAGAAAGAAAGTCGAGAAAAAAAGCGGTTTTAAGTCCGCCATAGCCTACAAGATAGATCTATATATAGTTGAACTCAATTAGCTTACCTTTTCAATACCTGCCTCGGCTGTTTCTCTCGTGGTGTGTTTCTGTCTTTTAAAAACATTAATAACTTAAAAGCAAACCATTTTGAATTATCCAATTCGTCTAAACCAGTACCTGATTTGCATTTCGTTTGTTCCCTCTGGAACTGCCCTATTAGATAACGCATTTTTTTCTCAACTTTTTCTCTTTCCAAATGCATACTTTTTGCAATTTTTAACCATGCATCATGCTTTTTTTTTATTTCACTTTAAATGAGGGACTGCGGATATCCCATAACACTGTATGATCTCTATACAACTTAATTAGTTGACAAGTCTGTTCTTGGCTCTACTCCATTAACAATATAAGAACATAGAGAAAGTAATAAAAAGTTTTACTTTACTATAAGTTCAAGCTTTTTACTATCTTTCTCTATGTCTAAGAACCATACGATCGAAAAAAAAATGGCGTCAGCGATGGCTATGAAATGAAGATCGCTGTCATTTTATATGAAAAATTATATTGGGAATGTCATCGATCGTCATGGCCAACTGGACGGGAGGCCGACTGGACGCAGTTTTTTTCGAACATACGGTTGTATAAATATTGGCTAACCCTTGACGGTTTACCATATTCAATTAAGATTCTGTTGCGCACGTCCCTGAAAATATGAGAGGCTAAACTAGAAATTTAGCAAATGTGGACGCGTTGGTTCATGTTACAAGATTTAGGTGAGATAAACCTTAATCAAATTTATCTTTATTTGAAGTAGAAACCAAAAATGTTATAATATACAGGGGGGTCCATTTAAAAAATTACTGCTTTGATTGATATTTTTTATTTATTTGGGACTTTCTGTATCTTGTAAAAAACTTTAAATTGTAGCTCTAATAGTCCTTCAATGAACCCAAAACTTACAATTCGTAAAAATCTAACCATTTGGCTGCAATATTCCGTGTCAAATGAGACGTATAAACCTGTATATTGGCAATGGATCTCTAGGCATAGGAATTACATGCATTGGAATGAAACGCCTATAAAAAGTCTATGCTTAAACAAAGATGGACAACTTCCCCGTTTCCACTTCCACTACGACTGTCTACTTAGACAAACTCCAATAAGATAACAAATTTTGGAAATTCCGCCACCTCCCATCCACTCATGATACCCATCTCCCTGCCCTTTATTTATCGCCATTATTTTATTTCCCTTCCCGCGCCTCCGCACCTCGCTATTCCGACTACCGTCAGTTCATCACAGAGTTGCCAGGTCTACCAGTTTCGTCTGTAAGCTACCGATCTACCGATTTAAAGAAAAATCTAACGATATATTCAACTGCGTCTTTAGTTTTTACAATAGAAGCACTTTTAAAAAAGCTGACTTATTTGACTATAAATTAAGCGACTGCCGCGTTGGAATCTGTATAATCTGACTTTATTATTTATTCATTAAATTTTATTTAGTAATAACACATATACAGGTATATATCGTTCTGTCTAGTTGCAGAGTTACAGAGATATTCCTAAAAATCCTTATTACTCCTTATTAGGCGCGGTATTGGCGACATGCCCGAAGAAGTTAATATCTTTTGAAAAGATTTTATTTCATTCATCTACTAAAGTTGAACCCATATTTTCCCCAAAAAATGTAAACAAAAACAAAATTTAAGTTAAGAAACAACCTAAATTCGGACAAATATTTTAGTGATTTTCCCGTAAAAAAATATATTAATATGAAAAAAGAGTTGAGAGTTGCTACAGCTTTCCCATTGAAATGAAATTAATTTTAGATATCACTGATCAAAATTTGTACAAAGGTAAAAAGTGACTGCTACACTAATTTGTGACTGCTATCCCTACTTGTTATAGTTTTATATGTTTTTATTAATATATTAATATTATTTAATTCAATATTTTTTTTAATATCAAATAATATACCTAGCTATTTCTAATTCTTGTTATATTTATTATATTTGTATTTTATTTGAGTGATCTATTATTACGACACATAGGAATGCTAATTTTGGACTTAAATATTATATTTTATTTCGTTTCTGTACTTTTAATTTTTGTTGAAGATCTACCGAGAATTTTGTTCTCGTATGGAATTATAATCTAACCAACCCGGCAACCCTGTTCGGCTACTCCTTATAAAGTTTTTTTCGGCCTAATTCCTTTGTCACAGCCGCGGCTTTGTCAAGCGCCGCCGCCGACCGACTGTGTCGGGGCGACTGCTAGGAAGATCGTACAGTATTGCCATTTCATAGAATTGCACTTGCTATTTTAGAAATGATTTCAAAGTTTTGCATGTTACTTTTCGTTTTAGAAAGAAGTTATGTGCCTAGAGAAAACATTCTTAAAATTGTTTCGTACTTTATTTAATATTTCATTAAGTAGGCAAGATAATGGGATTAGAAGATTTAGGATTTTGACAAGCCAACATAATTTCGATTTAATTGAATGGCAACACTGTCCGTCCTGTTTCTATTTTTTCGATTCTGTTCTATTAGTAGGCGGTAGCCCCCACACAAGCGTCTTAAAGACCCGCCCGGCGCCCCCTCTCGCAGGGGCTCTCTCGTCGTATCACTTCTATGATCACTTCCCCTATACGATGGTAGGGAAAAGACACTTTATCCGTCTCTGTTGCACTGCAGTGTATTTTGCAGCCTTACCATCTTTTTTTATCGCATTGAAAACCTCCTATTGCTAATATTCCTTTGCCAGCAGTGAATAAGAAACTATTTTTAAGTAATATAATTAATATATTTTTTCTTATAGCGGTAAAGGTGGGCTTGGTTCTTTGGCAAGCAGCCAAAGCGTGTCTTTCAGACAGGGTACCAACGTAGAGTTTGGTGCCAACAGTTTGGGTGGTCCAGGAGCGCCGGAACCACTAGATGTAGCCTACAGTCTGGACCCTGTCAACAGCAAAAACAGGGATTTCCATAATCCCATGTACGATGCGGTACAAAACAATCCGGATATGGTTGGCAACGGTAGTGGAGGTAAGTCAAGAGCTTAGAATAAATATCTGTACCTCAGAAGCAAACTATGTTGTCACAAAACATAGTTTTGAGAAAACGAATTTAAAGTTCTTTTTTGAAGTCATTTAACCTGTGATCGTTATATTTGGTATATGAACAACTTATTTTGAACTTAAATGAAATAAAAAAATGTCTATACCTATGTAGCGGATTCATCTCTCCAAAAAAATCCTGTATGGCTATTTCTTTTTTTTTATTTTTTTTAACAACACTTTTTTTGTGTATCTATAATTCCTTTTATTTTCAGCTCTTTACGAAGTGCCTTCTGATCTCACAAAAACGAAATCTGCTGATACGTTTACTGAGCCACCCAGTGCAGTTATAGCACCGTCTAGCGTTACTCACAGGTAAGATGGTTCTTCCCATTTACATTTCTTCTATGTGAAACCTCATTCTTAAAACTACGTAGTGTTGATGTCTAACCATCTTTAAATCTAAATATCACTAAAATTATAACATATTTAGATAAAAAAATTATTTTTTTTATTTTCTTTTTAAGATCTTCGCCTCAAGTCCAAGTTAGACACAAAGAAACGAATCCAGTGACCTTCGATTCGGGGAAAGACACTCAAAAACTAGTGGAGGAAGATTGCTGATACAGGGTGAGACAAAAAATACTACGGTAAAAATGAATCTAGAAAAAAACTAATATATATCGTTCTAAATGAAAAAAATACATTCCACTGGACTTTAACACTATATAGTTTGTAAAAATTGACTATATTTATATATGTATAGAGAAATCAGCTGTGATTTTGTAAAAAATGAGATAATATCTTTATATCATTAGCAGACATTCCGTTTTTTTTTTCTAAAATTTGTATAAAAAATGAAAAAATGAGTCTATTTTTGTATGAATAAATTAAAATTCTGATATTCTAGAGTATATAAAATTGATATTATAAGGATATAAGAATGTTAACGCCTGTTTTTGTGTTTTTTTTTAAATATATGAAGAGTTAGTGCCATTCGAGAGGGAAAAAAACAAAATAAATTAAAAAAACACACGGCTCTGAAAAAAACGACTGTAAAAACAAAAAATTCGGTTTTTGTTTAATTATTATTGTAAATATGCTAATCTTAATTAACAAAACTCCTATATACAGGGTGCGTCTCAAATACCAAGTCTAAAATTATAATAAAACATTTCACATTTTGACAACCACTGGTTGATTATACCGTATGATCGAAAAAAAACGGCGTCCGGTTGGCTTGGAAATGAACATCGTTCACATTTCCCATATAATTTTACATATAAAATGACAGCGATCTTCATTTCATAGCCATCGCTGACGCCGTTTTTATTCGATCATACGGTATATGATACCAACAATAAACTTTTAGTCACGTGATTAAGCTTGAACGGTACAGCGGCGTTGCCGACTTTTACATATTTTCGTTTAATCAAAATACTTTAGGAAAAAAATAATTATAAATATATAAACAGATATTATTATCATCAACAAAATTCACCTCCTTAATTGCGCTTAAGGGACATAAAAGGCCATTACTACCGCTTGCCGTTCATAATATTCGGCTCCAAAAAGTTTTATAAAATATAGAGGGCAATTTAAAAGAAAATACGATGTTTTCTTTAGAAACCAACCCAATGCCGTGCTTTTGGGGGTTTGAAATATACTCCCAGCTAAAACATTTGCTTTTATTTGAGAAACATCCTGTAGAAAATAGAAGGAAATATATAATTTTATTGTTTTTAATTGTATTAAGTGCAAATAAGTTTATAATCTTAAAGAAATTAATTAAATATCAACAATTTGATTAATTGATTTGAAGATTTGAAGGATATTCATTTCCATCCCGTCCAAAAAAAAATACTAAAGAACTAAATTATGGATTTCGACAACGAAAATACTTTTTTAAAAAATTTTATTTTTCACAAAGTATGTTTAACAGATACAATGAATACAATGGTTAAGAACAGAATGACAATTTTAATGCGCTTGGTTATATTTATAAGTTCGGTTTCGCTCGCGTCTTCGTGGGAAAACCATGCTATTTCCTCTCACATAACTCCTCCCTTTAGTTTGTGTAAGTCCTAATATAAGAGGTTTTTTGATATTGTATCTATATGTCCATGATTTTTATTTGTTAACTTCCTCCTATGTCCTAAAAATTTAAAACGAGTTTGATTCAAGATACTGATAAAAATTGTACTTAAGATGTCTTGAAACTAAGTCGTTTTATTTTATAGGGACTGTTTAGATTTTTGAAATTGTTGCAAAATAATGATTTTTATTGTATTTTACGTTATTTGTAAATATAATTATTTTGGGAACAAATCTTGTAGCGTTGTCAGAGAAATATACAGGTTATTTTATATTATAATTGTGTTTTTTTGTTTCCTAGGCCATCTATAAAAGTTATAGATGTTTCCTAAACCACCTGTATGTTTAGTTGGTGAATCCAGTGTGGATTCAACGGCCTGATTCACCAATTAATAGAATAGTTAAAAATGCTCCTGATTTTATCTAGTCTGGATTTTTTTATGCAATTTTATCTACAATCTTTAATTTTTGTTAAATTACCGGTCAAAAGTCGTTTAAAGACTTAAATGGATTATTTAAGTCAAATTTCTTGCAAATTTGGCACTGGTGAACCATATTTTATAGTTCTTGAACAGAAAAAGTCAATAAAATAAACACTTAAGGACTACAAGCTAAGAAAATGCGTTAATACAGCCGGGGAGATAGCGGCAACAAAGCCTTACCGCACACGTGCGACACGTACTACAAGATAATAAATGAATGAATAGGCTCCCTCCCCTCTAATCGGTGTTGTCATATTGTAAAGAACTTATCCTTTTTAAAGAGTATCCGACTTATAATTTAGTAGTATAAAAGGACTATTTAATACATCTCTGGAATATTAAAACCTACTTTATTAAACTGTAGTATTAATATCTCAATATATGTGTATAACAAGAAAAAAAATATTGATAATATTAAAGACGTGACAACATAGGCTGGATGAGAAAGGCTCGGTCGACTGTACCCGGAAGTAAACATGTGTACAAAAAATAATGTCTGTCCGCGTTGAGATGTAAATAGTGTAGTCTATATTTTATTTTAAGTCTATGGTTTGGACATATTGCCTACTGTGCGCCGCCGGCGCCGTATGAGAGGCGCCACCCTGTATATTGATTACTGAACACTAGTATAAAAAAGGCCATGGTACTTTTTTATTTTTTATTATTGGAAGATTTTTAATATAATTGTTACACTGAGAAACAGTTATTATTTAAGTTTCGGAGAGAGACCTATCTTAATGTGTTTCCAATTAAGATTTATTTACCTAATTGTAAAATTCTGAGATTACTCCAGTAAGAAAAGAAATGCACATCAAACTGCACCTATTAAATATATCTTATTATTATTATTAATTATTATGAATTTTAAAAACACTAAAAAACGTTTTTACTATTCGAAAAAAACTCCTAAAAATGTTTGCTTGTTACTGATGGCTAGAAAATGAACATTCTGATATGCCTTGAAATCAAATTGAAGAATTTAAAAGAAATAAATGAGCAAGAGGTTGATTTTTTGGTTTGTTTCCTTTAATTGTAATTGTACACCTACAAAACTCTAGTTGGATCAATACATATCTGTCAAATAAATTTAACATGGATGTTTGATCAAACCAATTTTTGAAATAAGTTGTATTGGTGTAAAACCGTTTAATATACCGGGTGCATCTCAAAAATGCCTCGCCTCTATAACTTTTTTATTTTTTGAGATAAAAAAGCGACATTTGGTATGTAATTGATTTTAGTGCATGACTTTAGTGACAAAAAACAATTGAATATGTCCAATTAATCCTAATTTATGTCGTATACTAACATACCAAATTTCGTTTTTTTTATCTAAAAAAATAAAAAAGTTATAGGGGTGAGCCACTTTTAAGATGCACCCGGTATGTTTTTGTTATACCGATTGTTCTGATGCTTTTATCAAAATGTTATTTTCATATAGATTAAAAATAAACCAAAAAAAAATTATCTGTATAACAGAGTATGTATAGTATCTAAAAAGTACACCTACACATTATCCTTAAATACAATAACCCTATATGATGTACTGTATGATCGAAAAAAGAACGGCGTCAAGTGGGCTGCAGCGATCTGAATTTTCAAGCCAACCATGACGTTGTTTTTTTTTCTCGATCATATGGTACGTGTTTGAAACAAATGAACAACAAGAAGATATTATAATATCTACATGATACATGCATGTGCTCTCTATTTATTAAAAAAAACTTAATAAAATCCTGTAATAAATACAGAGAAGTTCAAAAGTTAGAGAGATTTTAAATGTCAGTACAAATTAAAATTTTGTTGCCAAAAATTTTCACAATTATGGTATTTTGTAAAAAAAATAATTTATTATCTCTAACTTTGAAGCTTACGTTTAACTCAATATTCAATACCAAAAACTATGATTAGAAAAAAAATATATTATTTTTTTCTTGGCTCACCCTGTATATTTTCACGTCCATTAAAAATATATAGTGTGAAACTGTAAAAAACTAAAATCTTTCTTTTTCTAATCATATATATTTGATATAATATGTCTATGTGATGTATGTATGCCTTAGGCCCTATATACTTAAACTGTAACTAACTATAACTTATTATATAACTATTTTTTAGTGTCAATAATTAAACAATAAAAGATATTTTTGGCTTAAGTAAAACAACGCTTGTATTTCTTTTACAAATTAATGTTATAATGTACAATATACGAGATGAGGATATATATATTTTTTTAACGTGATGATTTTTTAAATAACCCTGTATAAAAGAAATCGTATTTTATTTAAACTTATACATAGTTTATTTCAAAGAGTGTGTTCTTTTTGTTTATAAATGTATATATTTTAGAATGGTAAAGGAGATCAATATTTATTTTTTTCTGTGTATATATGATTTTTGGTTGATCGTGAATGTAAAAATTAAGTGGATATACCTAATGATTCATTTTTTTTTATTAACCTATATGTGTTTCAATGATGACTGTATTGTAGTTGTCTTGATTTCAGTTTCTTAATTTCTGTTACGACGGGCAGCTGAAAAATAAAGAAAAAAAAATATAAAAATATTTTACACTGAAAAAAAGTAGTTTTTGAAAAACATGTTGAATATACATATATACACACATATATACAGGGTGTCCCAGAAATAAGTGCAGATATTTTAAAGGATGGTAGATATGGTCAAAAGAAACATATTACCTCTTTATCATTTTTAAAATAAATTGAAAATTACTTTGAAAGTTTAAAAAAATTGCAACATTTTGAGAGCCGCCGGGAGAAATCACCACCACCTCAACTCAAGGCCAATGAACATGATATGGGCAAGGCAAATATGGCGGCGAAGGCAGCGCATTATTAAATTGTTTACCTTTACTGAAAAGCCGGTAGTGGTTTCTCGTTCCGATTGCATACCAAAAATAATTAATTATCTCTAGTTTGTTGTGCTTCTGCAACACGTTTGTTTAGTTCTTAGCGTTCAGTGCATGGTGTGATCAGAAAATTGTGATAAAATAAGAGTGTAATAAAAATCCAAACCAGACATTCCACATAGGGAACTTCAACTTCAAACTTTTGTGCTTGTCGTACTCCTGTATTATTAATTATTTTAAGGTAAGAACTAGAAGTATTTATCAAGATATTATACCTAAATGAGTAAAAAGCCTTCACCCCCAGTCTGCATAGTACTTTATAATGGTTACTTACAATATTCAAAAGATAGGTATTAAAGGGTTAACATTTTATTGTAGCATGCCATTTACATGCTCTATTTCAAATTGTCACGGGAATTATAGAGGGGGTCCCAAGGTTTCTGCTTTTATATTCCCCAAAAATGACGAGCTTCGTAAAAAATGGTTGACGGCTATTAAAAGAGATAATTTCACACCTACTAGTAGTTCTCGGGTAAGAAGTGTATTAAATAAGCCTCAAAGAGACCAAAGGCGCGAAAGCCTCTGTTACCCTAGTGAGGATGTAGTTATGGCTAGTGCTTATACACTTACCTCACTATAAGTAAAATAATGGAAGAAGAATCAAGCTTTTTACATCAAAAAGATCACAGAAAGATATTGACAACATTGACATTTGAAAATATAAATGGCCTGGATGTAAATCTTTTTTTAGGTCACAATTGACCCTCACATACGTCAAAATTTATTATTAAATCCATCTTGTTCAGAATATCCAATATTTTATTCAAGAACTATGCAAAAAAAAGGAATGACGTCTTTACCACAAAGACAATGCCCTATGTAAAGAGAAAGAGTAAAGAAAACGAAGATAAGCGTAAGTTTTACTTACGAACCCCCAAAAAGGTATTTAGTTTTTTTTTCTATATAAAATCTTGAAACACATATTATATTTTTTAGTTATCCTCACCTATTATAGTTTAAATTTATTCCCATTTGTGTAATGCTGCCAAACATAGAAAAAATATTCCATATTTTTTGATCCAAGCAAGTCTAGTTTATAATTCCAAGAGCATTTACCAAGACTAAGACAAGTAACTTCCTATACTGTCCATAATAGTATATATTTATCAAACGTTCAGTAAATTCTAAACTATGGTAGGTAAGTGTTTGCAATTGAATATTTAGTTTATATTGCTATTTTCTGTCATATATTTCTGGTTATTTCTTTTTCCGATAATTTTGAACCCCCTATATATGCTACCTCAAGTTTGAATATTTTAACACTACCTATTTTCTGAGAAAGCAGACCTTTTGATAAAAATAACTAACTGGCATTTTCATAAAAGTAATAATACAAAAAATTCCATACTTATGTGGAGAACTTTAGACTCCCTGTATATTAAAAAATTAGTGAAATATTGCGTAATCTTAATAACCCGACATTTGTGTGAAAAATGTCTATTTGGAAATAAAACAGGGTTTAAAATACGCGCCAAATAAAGCACTTCTATCTCCGCCATATTGGAAAAGGTTGAATGCCCTTGTGTGGAGGTGGTGGTTGGTGGTGGAGAAAACCGCAATTTCCCGGATCTCGCCTTGTTCGCCGCCCGCTGTTGCCACATCAATTAGAAATACTTAAAACCTACTAGCAAAATTCCACATCACCCAAGAGGTTCTGCAAAGGTACGTTACTCTTTTTCAAGTGATATAATTGCAAAGCTTTTTTTTTTCATTTTACCACTCTTAAAACTGTACTTAACAATACACGTAACAACACTTCATTTCACTACTGTGAAACACGGTGTTGCTGGGGTCGAGCTAGTTAAAATATCTGCACTTATTTCTGGGATACCCTGTATAAAAGTGAATGTCAATAGAAACTAACTATAAATAAATAAAATAATGAGACAATGAATAACGCTTCAAAGAAATCAAAATTACGATGGATATCATGAATATAAAACAAATATAACTAAAACAAAAACGATACGGGTACCTTTCTTACCTTTGGTGGGCTTGGCCATCTTGGTTTTGCACTTTTTCGTGATCTCTCTCTTCTGTTCACAGGACGAATCACTGCCTGCCTTGATTTTGTCGGTCCTCGTCATCTGGCCTTGAGGGTTGCACTCTGCCCAAGCGCCCTTCTCGTATCTGCAAGCTAAAAGCAAAATAGTTGTTTTTTATACAAGACGATAATGCATTTTTATTGTCGTGTATAAAACAAGATTTTTTTCCATAGCGAGTTACGTTTTAAAAAATATTCAGATATTATTATTTCAAGGAATTTATTACGAGTAGAAAAAATATTGCGCTGGGTTGGCGTTCGTTGGCTTTTATGTAATTTGACAAATAAATAAAGCTGTCTCTTTACTTGTCAGTTTTGAGTCAATATTTTTTAATTCTCTTTCGTGTCGATTGCTGATTGAATTGGAGCCAGAAATGGCTCAAAACGAAATAAGTAAATTACCAACAGATATTCAGGCTGAGGCGACAAACGCCATATCCAAACTACTTCCATTTAAATCCCGAATAACTTATGAAAAGGAATACAAACATTTTCAAAAATGGAAGCAATTAAAAAACGTGCGAGAAGAAATGAAGTTTTTTAACCTATCCTCGCTGTTAAAGTATCATTTAATCTACCCTTGCGGTTCAAGTATTATTTTATCTACTATATTTTTTGATAGATATAAGGCATTTTTAACAGTTGCTATGGAAAAAATATTATTAAACCATTGCCTGGAAACATATGGTGAAATTTTGATAAAATAATTTAGTACACACTAAAAACACGGTGTGTCGCTAGTGGTAGGAAAAATAATTTTAGAGGTTACTAGTTTATTTGGTTGCTGTGATCATATACAGGTGTTTCCCTAATTAATTTAAAAAATATAAAATTGTTAGAAACGAATTAAGGCGAGCTCTTAATAAGTATATTTATTTTTTCTCGACAAACGTTTGATGAACAAGAAAAACTCAAAAGATCAATTTTTGTTGAAAAAGGATGGCCAGTTAAAGAAAAATATATTTTCTTTAAAAAGGCAGTGGTGTACCATTTATGTTAAGCAAAAAATCGTTTTTTTTAATTTTTAACACCCTGTAGATCAGAAAGGAAGTACTTTAGACCCAATGGTTATATAAAAATTGTTTTAAGAACACATGAGGAATCACACCATAAATTTTTTTAGACTAATTCGAAAACACCCTGTATATTGTCAACTTGACAATGACTGCTGATAAATTTTGTGAATTTATTTTGCGTTTGCAAATACTGGTTTGTTTTTAATTTTCTATTATCTAAATTTTAAATATCATAGTCAGAAATAGTTTATATTATTTATTAACTGTAAAATGGTGTTTTCTTGTTGTGTTGCATCTTGCAAAGAAACTAACAAAACTGCAAAATGTACGTGTTTTCCAAAGTCGATAAGGTATGTATCTTAGATAAAAGAAAAATATATGGTATGTATTCGTTGTTTGATTTTTTTTTCGTTCGCTTTAAAATCTATAAATCTCGGTCTATTCATTATACAGCCAGTCGACTTACGATCATTTACATGAAACTCTGTAAAATAAATAAAAAATAAATTGTAAAATATACATATTCTTATGTTTTATTAAAGTTACTCTGATATACTAATATATCACTGTAACTTTAAAAATAAATCCTTTGAATTCAAATATAAACATAAAAACATTTACAGCAGAAAAAGGCGAAGCGTTGGGTTAAACGTAGTCTCCACTAAAAACACGGAGGGGGCGCTTTGACCCAAAATTTTACTATTAAGTTTCATATCTATCTTAATAGTAGATTATTTTCTTTTATCTATGTTATTAAACTAACATAAAGTGTCAAATTCAACGAGCCGTAACCATAGTTTCTCGATATATAATTACATACAAAGTATCAAGGACTGTATATATTCTAAAGGATTGTTCGATCGCATCAAATCGCCGCTGTCGTATTCGCCGTGGAATGCTACCGTAAAACGGGGTAACTTCGACAGGTTTCAGCTGTATTTCGTGCTCTGTGAAGAAAACTATTGTCTTGAAAACTGTGACTTATGTGTCGTCGTAACAATTTAAGCCTTTGTTCTTCATAGCCGAACAAACAACTCCCCCCCCCCCAACCCTCTTTCTACTTTTTTTTACTTTATTTTTTGCTTAATTCTACATGAAGTCGAAGTTGGACGTCTCCGGTGCAACTTCGACACGAAAAAAAAAGAAAATTCATTATGAATTATTAACTAGAAACATTAGGGAATAGTTTTATAGGCCTAAATTAGACAAACGAAACAAAAAAGTACAGTCATCTATTTTCAGAAACTTTGGTATACCTACCTAGCACATTTTGCATCTGAACTTAAAAGACTTTATTTTAACTTAACTAAAACTCATTGAACAAAGTAAAAAACATAAATACACAACAACTGAAACAAAGAGAAAAACTAAAGCAAACTAAAAAAAATAAAAGTAAATAAATAAAACAAAATTATAATACAAAAAAATTATTAAAGAAAACAAAAACTATAGAAAAAACCTAGGATAACCTGAAAAACAACAAAAACATCTGAAAACCAACAAAAACCTGAAAAAAAAGCATTATAATATACATGTCGAAGTTACCCCCGTTGTCGAAGTTACCCCGTTTTACGGTACGTCACGGGCTGACCAGCGCTCCACAGTGCGGCGGATGGTTATTCTAGCGGGACAAAATCTCAAGAGCAATGTTTGGGACTTAAAATCTAAGAACGTAGCAAATGGTCTAATATATATCAACTATATGGTTAAATTTATTTATTTATTAACAACTTAATTTATTAATAAATAAATACAAGATAATAAAACTATGATATTATTCGTACATGACACACAAAAACCGTATTGTAAACTATTGCCAAATACATAAAATTATGATATCAAAAAACTCTTTAGCAGTTTTTTTTTAGTTAATTTGTAATCTTGTGACACCCTCTATAATTTATTTTAAAAAAATATACTTTATTTTGAAAATAATAAATAAGATAGATATTTTAATTTTAACACTCGATAATTGTAAATTCATATATAGTAAGTATCTAAGACAATTTTTTAAACTCAGTGCCTTTTGATGAAGTTGTTTTGTTTTTATACTATCCGATTGAAATGAATCTTTTTGGGCATTCACCTGTTAAACTTGAACTCCCTGTGACTGTGACTACCTGTGTTGGTAACTATTGGTAACTCAAAAGATCTACATCATTCAATATATCGATATTTGAAAAAAAAGTGAAAGTTTGATATCTGCAGAACAAAGGCACGAAGGATTTTAACAAATAATATACATACAGTAGAAAAGTACATACCTTTGGCAATCTTCAACATAATTTGGCTTTCTAATAAAATGTATAAGCATTTGTAAATATTTTGTTTTCGTATGATCTCTGCCTTGCTGAGCAGAAAACGACCAAATTTGGTTGATAAAAATGTATCGAAATACAAAGAATATTCATGCATTTTTGTATCAATTGGAATGTCTACTATTTATTCTTATCAGTACACATTTTTTGGCTTATTTCTAACCAAACGCTTTTGTCCGGCTAAATTTATCTTCCAACGCACTGTGCGCTCGTCCGTCAAATGCAAAAATAAGTGTCACTGTCTAAAATCTTTAGCGCCAACTTCAACTCGGTCAGTAGATGACGTAAAAAAAGTGACAGTGCAGGAAGATAGGAATCGAACTATCCTTATCTCTATAGTATCCTTGACAAAGTATTACTTTTAAATCTTTTTATATTATTATTTTATATTATTTTAAAAATTATTTGTGGCGTTCGAAAAAAAATAGCTTGTTCTATTCGGAGTAAAAATGACTTTTTGTGCCTCCCCTGTAATGTCAAACGTACAACCTCGCTACAAAAAGTATCATTTTTACTCCTAATAAAACAATATACTTTTTTTTCAAACATGGTAGACTATAATCTGGTTTCCTTATAATCGAAAATTAATAAATGATTAATATTAACGTCAAAATATGTATCCTGGTGTGAATGATGAAGGGGGAACCCCAGAAAACACCTCACCTACTCGTTATCGACGCCTCAATAACTAAGGGTTCGTTTACATTAAGTTGTGAGATGGAATTAGGGCCCGTCTAATTAGGTTGGTGGTTAATTTAGCGCGACATTTTGAATTTGCCGCAGGTAATTAGGTATCAGGTCCAGGACCGGAATTAATTTTAAAGTGGAGCTGTGGAAAACGTAAATTATATTCAAGACATTCGAAAAAGACTATATTTTAAGATTAATATAACTATTTATGTAACAAGTTGCGAAATGACTGTGTTTTAAGCACGGGGCACAAAATTGTCCAACGCGGCGAAAGCCGAGTAATTAATTGTTTAATGACAAAGTTCTGTCAGGTTCAAACGTCGCCGTATTTCCTACAAAGTTTTGTGAAAAAATGAGTGATAATGACGAGTCTTTGGATATTCAACAAGCTGCTGAAACTGCGCTATCCACGTAGTAATGGCCGAAACAGCGATTTTTTAATAACAGGTACAACCCATGATACAAAGAATACAAGGTATGATATTGCGCAGGTTGGTTACTACGTCACAGGTGATAAACGGCACCATTGGTCGGCAAGCTCCGCGCGCCAATTTCAAATTGTCAAACAGATGACACAATAAACGCGAAAATAATTGTTCAAATGTCAAGCTCGATAATTTGACATAACTTTTGGGGTTATGTCCTGATTCTTCCTATAGTCTGTCCAACGAGAAGATCCTTGACAGTGATAGATGTGTCTGTCATTTTAATTTCAAAGTAGTTTATTTTATTTTACAACGAAATAAGTTGGTACAACTGGAACGCATAGCAGGGAAATATTTAAAATTTGATTGACAAGATGACAAGTGATTACTTCAAAATATCGTGAAAAACTGTATAAAACTGAAAAATGTAATCGAGTTATATTATTTAATAAAAACGGTATGTGTTAATACAAAACAAACAAGAACAAGACACTACATACCAAAAAATATAAAATAAAACTATTATTTACTTTCAAGCTTTATGAAACTATACCCGCATTTATGATTATATTTATGAATATAACTTATGTACAAATACAAATTTGTAATATTCCATTGAGGAATAAATAAAACAACATAGGTAA